AGTTGACAGCGGATCATCAATTCTGTATAGCGATTTGTATGGGGGCTCGATGGTCGACTGTCCCTGGATTTTGTCCTGTCCCTGGATTTTGTAGCCAACTGTCTTGACAGTAGCCCCTTAATGCAAGAAGCTCGGGCCAACGGGTATAACGTTAGCTGAGAATGGAAGGCGAGCACTCTTCCCAAGTCGACTCACGTACGCGGTACATAGATGTATAGTGCTGAGTAAGCGAGAAGATCGATGAAACGGCGAATTCGGAGTTTTATTAGATTCTGGATTGCAGGCTTTCTTGGGTTGATGGACAAGACGACAATCGAAGCCAACGGAGTCGGTCGCCTGGCCGAGGAAAATGTTCGGCACCATCGCCTGCATCAAGGAACAGGATTGCAAAAGGTGAACGAGGAGAAACACACCGGGCCGCCGCACCTGCTCAGCCTAACTGAAAGGTTGGATCCATTTGTGAAAGGATTTGGGCCAATTCCTGCCGGAGCGTGGTGCTTCGTGCCCCTCCTCGAGCCCTCCTTCAATCTTCACAGTGAAGTTCAGATGGTGTGGGGTCGGCCCCATCCCTCGCTCGTTCCTGGTTGACTTTCAGGGGCAAAGTGGGGCGCATGCGCTAGCGCTAGCTTTTTCAGGGGACGGATGTGGTGTGACAGTGCGTCCAATACTGTCGGAACGGTCGATAACTTGAACTTCCATTGAAGTTCAAGTTTGAGGCCATCACCAGGGCTGAGTTGAGGATAAGGCGAGCATGAAACTCAGAAGATACGATTCACTAATGCAATCGATAAAGCTTCCAGGTTGTCAGGCTGGCAGTCTTTGCTAAAAGGACAGCGAACCTTCAACAGCACATATACAACGGATGCTGCCAGCTACAGGACATGCTACTAAAGGTATTACAGTACTCCGTAGTATCTGACTGTGAGACGGCTTACTGCAGAAAAAGCTCCAAAGCAACCCGAACCGTCCCGCAGGAACACCAACACAGCAAGCCACCAACTCGCACGAGATGTAATACCTAACCATTCCCTATTTCAGGGTGTTGCTCAACGTTGAGGGTATTATTGTACAGTACATAAATTAGCTTCATACACCACTTGAAGAGCACACAAGGGGGCAGTAAGATGGGAGAATCACAGCGGTTGCGCGGGCGGGAAGAACCACATCTAGTATCGGGATCAGTCACTATCAAGGCTCACTGGCCTGATAACATCAAGCCATGCTCATCTGATCACCACCAGACTCTGTCACAAGAGCATTACATACTCAGGGGCAGGTGTGTTGGGTCACGGGGAATGCCGTGCCCCTATTCTAGAGGATTATACCGTACGCTATTGTAGTCAGCGCAGTGCTAGGTACAGAACTTGTCCATTCAATATTCAAGCAGCATGGCTGAAATCCTGTTAGTTATGAAAAGCACATACCCAAGGTACTCTGACATAAGGGCAGGAGCAGCCGAGAACAACTATGTACCGCGGGCAGTGTCTTCAGCGTCTCATGGTTTCCACTGATCGTCTGACAGGCTCTGTTTCGAGCATGACTGAGTCTCTACGGCAATACAGAAGAAACGTGTACACGGGCTTGTGTTTGTTCTTGTTTGACCAATGCAATCCTCTATGTGCAACTTTGATTCGAGAACGACTTGAAGGCTGTCGGGTTTCTTGATTCGATGTGATACCATCCCTAGGTAAGGTACTTACTTACCTACGGTAGGCATATCTAGAAGGTCCGAGCAAGCCGCAGGCCTGTCGCCCTTACATAGGCCCCTTACCCCCAACACCGGGTACACTACGTCCCACGTAACGTATATGCGCACTGGACAGGCAGCTGCCAAAAGCCGCCGCAACTTCCGGGCTGCAACACACAGCAATATATATGCTAGTGGACGGAGAAATCCATGAGAGCGAGAATCTCCCTGTTGGATGTATGTATGAGGAGAAGTACCTTAGGTAAAATACGCTCAGTACCTTCAGTAACTTACTGTACAGTACGTGTACGAACCGCAAGGGCCGCACTGTGTGGCTGCAAGGCAACGATTACCATTCGCTGGCGCCACTGTTGCGATGCAGCCGGCTTTCGCGAGAGGCGCTTGCCAGGCAGGATCCGCCGGGACCCGCCCAGTGTGTGAGGCGCCCAACCTGGAACCAAGTCCGCTGTTCCTGGCTTTTCCGCTTGCACTGCTTTTCTCCCTTGAACCCCCCCATGTCCCCGTTGCCCTTTTCCCCCAGTCTCTCTTTTCGTCCACCTCGATCGCCTCACACTTCGACCGCCCTACCCTTTCTCTTTCCCTCTCCCCACTTCTGCTTTCGCTTTTTCTCACCACAGTCACTCCCTTGCAAAATAGCTATTCACTCTCTTCAGACGGAATCCGTTCATTCTTTTCGGGTTCCTCTCACTCTTTTCGCCTGCCGGCCAATTTTGCATCGGTCGCCCCTTCTCAAAGCCAATTCAGGTTAACCAGGGCTTCCAAGCAATTCATCAAACTTCTTGTTCCAGTCACTGGACCAAGACGACACTCCTTTGCAGTTGACGATTTCCATATTTCTTCCGATCATTCGTTACTACGATCAAATTTTCTCCGAACACGGTGTCCCTGTTGGTCCAGAACGGCATCAATAGTGGATTCAGCACACCGCCCAGTCGTACCGGCGATCTCCAGGCCGTTTTGGTTCAAGATATCTCGGGCAGGCTCGGGTAGCGCCATTCTACCGAACTTTTACACTTAGTCGGTCTGCTTAGGCGGCGAGCGACGCCACGCGGCTTGAAATGGCGAGCGATGCAATCAAGCAGGAGGAAGGGGTGGCTCCCGCCGGCCCAGCCGGGTCAATTTCTCCGGCGTCCAGCAAGTCTTCTCTGCCCACGCCCAAGTCCGTCACTCCGGGCAAGAGTATAAAGACGTCACAATCCCCCAAGACAGCCTCCAAGGGCTCGAGCTCTGGGTCGCGACGACCGCCGCGCAAGAGCACGCTTACCCAACAGCAGAAGAACCAGAAGAGGCAGCGCGCGACACAGGACCAACTAGCAACTCTCGAGTTGGAATTCAGCAAGAACCCTACGCCCACAGCGACTGTTCGCGACAGGATAGCGGAGGAAATTAATATGACCGAACGGTCTGTTCAGATTTGGTTCCAGAACCGGTGCGCTACCCCGTGACCCGTCCAGGAAGTGTACTCTACTAACAGCACTCAGGCGAGCCAAGATCAAGATGCTTGCCAAGAAAAGCCTTGAAAGCGGTGAAGACATGGACTCGATTCCCGAGTCGATGCGGCAGTATCTGGCAATGCAGGCCATGGAATCTGGCAAGAATATCCCAGGCTTCTTTGGCCGCACTGGCCTCATGCCCTATGGCCATCAAGGAATGATGGGCGGCGAGCAGGCAGGGCCGGCCAAAGTCTGTGAGTTGTCCATGATGGTCACCATCTAGCTCAATTTTCGACTAATCCTCATAAGTGATTCACCACCTGAACTGCCGATCGCTCACCATCGGGAGGTGGATGCGGGTTGGCCAGAACGCGATGGACCTAATCATCTTCTACTCCCCCGACAAGTGCACCATGACCTACTACATCAACAACGATCAGGCCGGGTACAAGATTGAGTACCCGTTTTCATATATCAAAAACATCTACCTCAATAACGCCGAAGGTGATCACATGGGAGGAATCACGATCGAACTCTTGCACCCTCCGAACTTCTTCATGGACTCGTCGACTACCGCGACCTTCATCCAGGTCCGCGATTTTACCGAGGATCTCCAGGCTTCCACAGTACTCACACATCACCTTGGTGGAAACCCCAAGGTGCTCAGTGGTCAGCTGGCCAAGCTAATCAGCCTCGAAGCTTTCATCCACCGTCATAGTGCCTCCCCTCCGATGCTCGACCAGTTTCACCCAATGTCCATGTCTGCTCCGGTTTCACCCATCCCGCGGCCGTCATCGCAGCCGAATTTTGCGCAGCCGCATGTGGGCATGTATCAGGAGTCGCAATGGGGCATCACGGCGCATCAGACCATGATGATGCGGGGACCTGGACACAAGAGACAGCGCAGCCGTAGTGTGCCCGGCCCAATTGACTTCCAGACCATGCAGTTGCTGCAACAGCCGCCGAGTTTCCATATTACCCAGCCCGAAAACATGCCCCCGGCGCACAATCCCCACATCTTCAGCCCAGTCCCTCAGCAGCCTAACCTTTTGGGTCCTGTGGGACCGAACCTGCGCATCGACACGCGGGCTTCTTTCGGCTCTTTGGACATGCGATCTTACCCGCTCTCTGCGACGACGGCGCCTTCTCCGTCTGAGTTCTCGAGCCCTAACTTTTTCGCATCGCAGGCACCGGAGAATAACGGCATTCCCGCAGCCAGCTTCACTCCATACAGCGGGACTTTCTCTCCGCTAGTCAATCCTGCGAACCTGGGCGTGCCTCCTTCTATTTCACCCCTCTCCTTTAACCACCCAGATCCGGCCATCGTGGGGGAATCACCGCCAATGTCGGTACCTCCTATTGGCGAAGGGTCAGCTATCTCGGACGATGGAACGAGCTTGAACGACATGTACCCAGCGAATAAGCATACCATGTCGCTACCTCTCCACCCACATTCGCCGTTCACGGAGCCGCACCAGGCTGACATGGAGCTCAATCAGTTCATGGATCTCAAAAACTTTGAGGGTGACCATGCCTCCCTATCGCCAGAGAGCGTGCAAGCCCAATGAGCAGGGAGGTCTGGAAGCTCCCCATTTCCCTTGCCTTCGGCGTCCGCCTTGGGCGGTGCCTAGTGTCTCCTCTGATCAGCCATACATGGTCAATGGCTTGCAAGATACCCGTCGAGATCCTGTTTCCGATTTCTCTGTTGCTGGCGTTTGGAGGTCTTTGCATTGTATATATCCGGGTTCCAGCGGCTGTCGTTCCCCATACTGTTTGCTCAAAACACTACGACAGATTCAGCCCGTTTTCGATCTCCTTTCCCAAACATCCCTGAAAACCGGGTTCTTCTCGGATCTCACCATCCAGCTATGAATATCTGGTGATATCCAGCCCAAATGCTCATCTCGCGCACAGACCCGGATTTCGTTTACTCATCCCTCATCTTTGGGTTTTCGCTGTGCTGTGTTCTCTTTGCGTGCGGATTTCGCCATTGTCCCGCCAAGGACATTACAAGGCTCGGGGCCGTATGTTTTCATAATACCTATTCTCTAGTTTCCATCTGCTCTTCCCGATCGCAGCAGAGGCTGGGGATTCTTCAGGAAGAGTGGATGTTCGTTGCCTGCTAGAGGGAGGATGGAAAGGGGAGGCCCAGGAGGCTATTCTGGTATTGCGTTCTAATATCTGCTTTGGAGTTTGGGCTTTTTGTTGTTGTGTAGCAAGATGGTCGCTGGAATTCGGTGTTGATCGGCTCGAATTTTGTCTGAGGACCGTTCCAACAGCAAGGGGTGGTTCTACCAGTGTGGTCGTGGACATTGTCTACGTACCGAACCAAGGGAGGCTCTAGCCGACAGCCGACAGCGGGGCAATAATGCCTCGACTATGTTAGCCATCGAGTGTGCTGGGGTATCAAGGGTGTATGCGAATGGAGTCGCCGTTTCTTGTGGGTGCCGTCGCTGTGAGGTGTGGGTTTAACGACATGATGGCAGGATCCTAATTGAACGAACAATACCACTGAAAACAAGCTGTAACATGCTGTGTGGATTGTCTTGTGTTTGTTGGGCGTCGTTCGACCCCATTACGGATACACTACGGTGTGCATCCCAGCCCGAACAGCATAGGGCTGAGATGAGCCGATGCGATTTACTCACCATCCAACGACCGACGTCGTAGAACGAAGCCATCCACAACAGAGGTCGGGTCGTCGATGTAACACAGTGCAAAGACCTAAACTACTAGGTAGAGGACTCCCGAGTCGTTCAAGGTGATGGCCGACTCTGAGCTCTGATCAGCCGACGCCGAGGGAGATTGCACAGTCGCATCCCGGGTCATAACCGCCGGGCTGCGGCAGATACTGGGCTGAAGATGGATTCTGTGTAGACTCTAGCTTGAGTTTACAACCTGATCCAAGATGCATAGGTATTTATACAGTAAGTTAGAGGTAGCTTAACCTATCTCACTCAGGTATGTAGGTATGCAGGAGTGCTCAGCCTATCCGTAGAGAGATTATAAGTTTATAACCTTGCCAACTCATTGGTTACATCCCGAAGAGAAGAGGAGGTTGGTTCACAATGGAGAAGCAAGATCCTGCATCTACGGAGGTAATGTAGTGTACCATTCTCGATTGCATAATCTGTTCCCGTCTGCTGTGGTTGCCCTGAACTGCCTTGTAAAGTAACGTTCGTAGATGGTATTGTGCAGCGCGGATAGATGAGATGGTTTGTGGTCATACGTAATACCTGCATATGCTGATCTGACGTTTGAATCAGTACCCTTAGGCTTTAGGTACATACAGTACACGGCATGCTCTCAAGGATCTGGCATTGTTTCCATGCCCCCTTGCTTCGACTTCTATTTTCAGATTATTCCGTAAGCCTGGAGCTGTGGGATTCGTAATATGTATTAGTGACCAAGCCACGGTAGCTCCCCGCCCTTGACGGTCCTTGTCAGTGGATCGCTCGTATAGTTACAGAGTTGACATTGCACAGCAAATTATTCGAAAGACTCTGTTGACTTTGGATGTGTGTAAACACACCGCAAGGACAGCTTTTTCGGGGAATGGCCTACATATGTCGATATAAGGTGCTACCGGTTGGATCAATGGTTGACGAACGTTACCACAGATATTTGCCTAATTCGGGTTTCCTCACGCCAAGCGGTCTAGGCCAAGCTTTTTACCCCTCGCTATGGCCGCTTCCCCACAACTTCACGATGGAAAGCACTCAGAGCAGGCCAGCCTTGCCCGCCCTGGGGTGGTAGATCCCCATGGAAATTACACGTGTACAAGTATTACCCGAAGTGGCCAACGCCCATGGAGTTTCCAGCTGGGCTGCGAATGGTCGATGGTGCTAGTGCCAGGAGATAATGTCTCGTCCCGCTTCAGCTTCCCGCTCATTCACTCCCTTTTATATTTTCTCCATTTTCTCCTGTATCCATCCCTGAACGTTGCATATGTGAATAAGCCACAGCCCCCGCCGATCAGACAAAGAATCACGCATCCCAGATATCGGCAGGGGCCTGGATCTGTAGTGGATGTACTGTGTATGCACACGACACACCACACTACGCGCAAGCAAGTCGGGGCTGAGGGCCGACTGGTTGCGCGACGCCTTCACGGCAGCTTGGCAGAAGACTCGACGACTCGCCTCGGATCCAAGCGAAACACAGCCACAACCGAGTCGCCGCCTGGGTGGTACGAGGATAATGATAGGTCGCGAAGCCCAAGCCAAGGTTCCATCTACACCCCACACCATCCTTCGTTGAAGCGTCCAGATGCAGAAGAGGCCGGTCTGGGGAGTTTCGTTTCAACCTCTTCCTTTGCGTGCCACTGTCCTTCATTCCTCACTCGGACAGTTTGACCAGAGAATGCCAGGCGACAACTTGATCAGTGTCTCGCAACCCACCATCGCCGTCTGGGCCTGCGTGTACCAAGCTCGTTGAACGAGATGGCAGAGAGAAGCCGCCGAAGCACCGCAGGGGGGATACCGGACCAGCTCGAACACATTGAGTTGCAGCAGCAGGGCTCGCCTTCTTCAGATACTCGTCCGACCGAAGAGAGCGACCGAGTACCTGATCCCTCGAGGCAGCATACAGCACCGCCGACCAGCAGTTACGCAACAGATGGGCACGAAATTAGCAGGGCCCGACGTGCTCGGCCACCTCCGCCCGAGCTGCAGGTCAGAACCGATCTTGACGCAATTGAATCACATCTCCCGGTGCCCTCGTCAAGCCCAGGACGACGACACGGCAAGTCGGTCCGCTTAGGCTCGAAGACCCGTCCTTTGGACGAGCCCCAGCACGGCTACAAGGCCTCCATGGCTTCAGCCAAAGACAACGACGCAACCCTCACATACTGCCGGAAATGGGTTTCGCAACAGAGGATACGTCAGAGAAGGTGGACCAGCAAGTCATGGGCGAGGGCGCAGGCCATCGCTGAGATGGTGTATAAGCGCTACATCTTGGAGGGCCTGCTGAGACAGAAGCCGATCCCGCCGAGCAAGGACGGCAGGCATATTCCCCTGAAACCAGGCTTGGCCAGAAGGAAGCCTCTCGTCGATGAACGGACCGGCCGCGCTTACGTGCCGAATTTCATCCGATCCAGCAGGTATACGCTCTGGGATTTTCTACCAAAGCAGCTATTTTTTCAGTTCAGCAAGCTAGCCAACTTTTATTTCTTGGTTATCGGTATCCTGCAGATGATACCAGGTCTGAGTACCACTGGCACTTATACGACCATTGGCCCCCTGATCGCGTTTGTGGCGCTTAGCATGGCAAAGGAGGGCTACGATGACTACCGTCGGTACAGGCTCGACAAGCTGGAGAACAGGAGTTCCGCATGGGTGCTGGATCCGGAAGCAACGGTGAAAAATCAGCCAAGGAGGGAGCGGGCTAAGTCTCACGGCTTGTTTGGGAAGGAAAAGCAGGCGGTCGGGGGCGATCCGCAGCTAGCCGACCTTGAAGCAGTGCGCAGTGGACTAGGGGAGCCAGCACGGTGGGCGAGGGTTGAGTGGCAGGATGTCAGAGTTGGCGACATCATTCAGCTGCAGCGAGACGAGAACGTTCCGGCCGATATCGTTCTGCTCCACGCCACTGGTCCCAATAATATCGCGTACATTGAGACGATGGCGTTGGATGGCGAGACGAATTTAAAAAGCAAACAGGCTTGCCCTTTGTTAGCCAAACATTGCTCGACGATAGCAGGTATCGAGGCGTGCGATGCCGAGATTGTTTCCGAAGACCCAAATATCGATCTCTACAACTTCGAGGGCCGAGTCACCGTACGCGGCAAGACCATGCCTTTAACGCTGAATGAGGTGGTCTACCGCGGCTCCACGCTACGGAACACGGCCGAAGCCATCGGCCTGGTCATCAACAGCGGAGAGGAATGCAAGATACGAATGAATGCCAACAAGAACGTACGCGCCAAGGCCCCCGAGATGCAATACGCCGTCAACCGCATAGTAATTCTCCTTGTCTTCTTCGTGATTGCACTTAGCGTTGGTTGCACTGGTGGTTATATCATATGGCGTGGTGATTATGAGTCCCGCGCGTGGTACCTCAATCGTGGGAGCGTCTCGTTAGGCCACATCTTTATTGCTTTTGTCATTGCCTATAATACCCTCATTCCCCTTTCGCTCTATGTCAGCCTTGAAATTGTCAAGCTCGGGCAGCTCTACCTACTCAATGACCTCGAAATGTACGACCCCGTTACCGACACGCCCATGGTTGCAAATACTTCGACGATCCTGGAGAATCTCGGCCAAGTCGGTTATGTCTTTTCTGACAAGACGGGCACTCTGACCGAGAACATAATGAAGTTCCGGAGGATGAGCGTTGCCGGGACCGCATGGCTCCATGATATGGATCTGCAGAATGAAATGGGAAAGAGGGCGACGCATGGAAACCAGAAGCGACAGATGGAGAAGGGCTTCTGGAGCTCTCCTTCGAAGGTCTCGAAGCGTCTTGCTGACCCTGAGGTGATGGAGGAACCCCTAGTTGAAGGATATCGTTCAGGGATCGCATATCCAGCGGTCACGAGTCCTGCTCCTCGATGGAACTCGCCCGCCCATCTCACTCACAACCAGCTAGAGCTCAAGACGGATGATCTTCTTCGCTACATTAGCAGTCGGCCTGACTCGCCTTTCTCCCGCAAGGTTCGACAATTTATCCTCTGCTTAGCGCTTTGTCATACATGCCTTCCTGAGACAAAAGAGGGTGGTGAAATCAGTTTTCAGGCGGCTTCACCCGATGAGCTTGCTCTGGTCGAGGCTGCCAAGGACTTGGGTTTCTTACTTGTCGATCGAGCAGCTCAGTCTATGACTCTGCAGATACGCACTGCAACTGGGACCACGACCACCGAGACCTACGAGATCCTGGATGTCATCGAGTTCAGCAGCAAGCGCAAGCGCATGTCCATCATTATCCGTATGCCAGATAGGAAATTGTGTATCTTCACAAAGGGTGCTGACAGCGTCATTCTGCCTCGCCTGAGGCAGAAAGAGATTGCTATGCAAACCGTGTCGGCTGTCGAGCGGAGGGCAAGCATGCGCCGGAGTGCCGAACAGGAGAAGGCTCTCCTTCGGCGAAGTCTTCAAAGCCCGACGCGGGACAGTATGAACCTGATGCGCTCGCCTTCCACGCTCGATCGGAGGAATAGCTGGCGGAGGTCATCCACGATCCCCAGCGCAGTAGAAACCTGGCTATCTCGCCGGGAGACGGGCGGGTTCGAAGACGAATCGACAGGCGACGGCGCTTATTCAGGGCCACGTCGGTCCTTTGGAGCAACTCGCTCCCTAGAACTCGCACGCCTTGCCGACCCCCTAGACAGCCTGGTGGACGAAGCATTGATCCTGAACGAAGCTGCTGTTTTTGAACGCTGCTTCGAGCAGGTCGACAATTTTGCCACCGAAGGCCTCCGCACACTCATCTTCGCCTACCGCTTTCTAGACGAGCAAGACTACCAAAATTGGAAAGCCATTTACCACGAAGCCACCACAAGCTTGGTTAAGCGACAGGAGCGCATCGAAGAAGCTGCAGAGCTCATCGAACGCGATTTTGACCTTGCAGGCGCAACAGCCATTGAGGACAAGCTGCAGCAAGGGGTGCCAGAGACCATTGACAAGCTCCGTCGTGCCAACATCAAGGTATGGATGCTTACAGGAGATAAGCGCGAAACAGCCATCAATATTGCGCACTCGGCAAGGATCTGCAAGCCCTTTTCCGAAGTCTACATTCTAGACGTGACCCAGGGCGACCTGCAGGAGCGTCTCTTCTCGACGCTCACAGAGGTCGGACGCGGCATGGTCCCTCACTCAGTTGCCGTCATCGACGGGCACACTCTTTCAGTGGTAGAAGATAACGAAGCTCTCAGACAGCTCTTCTTTGACCTGGCTGCGAGAGTTGACTCAGTTATCTGCTGCCGCGCGTCCCCGTCGCAAAAGGCCAACCTCGTGAGGTGCATCCGGCGGCAGGCACCAAAGGCCGTCACGCTCGCCATCGGCGACGGTGCGAACGACATCGCCATGATCCAGGCATCGCACGTCGGCATCGGCATCTCGGGCAGAGAAGGCCTCCAGGCCGCCCGCATATCCGACTACTCGATCGCGCAGTTCCGGTTCCTCCAGCGCTTGCTCTTCGTCCACGGTCGGTGGAACTACATCCGCAGCGGGAAATACATCCTGGGCACCTTCTGGAAAGAGGTTGTCTTTTACCTCATCCAGGCCCACTACCAGCGCTACAACGGGTATACAGGCACGTCCATCTTTGAGTCGGCCAGCTTGACCGTCTTCAACAGCATCTTCACCTCGCTGCCCGTGATTATCCCGGGCATCTTTGAGCGGGACCTCTCGGCCGCGACGCTCATGGCCGTGCCGGAACTGTACACGTTCGGCCAGCGCAACAAGGGCTTCAACTTTGTCCAGTACCTCGGCTGGATGGCCGTGGCCGTGGCCGAGTCGGCCATCATCTACTACTCGGTCCACTACATCTACGCCACTGCCTCTCATTTCCCCGTCGAGACGGACCTGTTTGCTGTCGGCCAGCTGGCCTACTCGTGCGCCGTCGTCCTCATCAACCTCAAGCTCATGTTCCTCGAGGTCCGTGATCGCACCATCATCATGCTTGGCGCCATGGCCGTCTCGCTGGCTGCCTGGTTCCTGTGGAACGTCGTGCTCTCGGCCGTCTACTCGCGCAGTCCCGGTCCCTATGTCGTCCGCGACGCCTTCCTCTACGGCTTTGGGCGCGAGGGCATGTGGTGGCTGGTTAATTTCGTTGTGGTTTCTGCCACCGTGGTGTTCGAGCTGGGGGTCACGGCCGTGCGGAAGAGTCTGTGGCCGACGGACACAGACCTGATGCAGGAGATGGAGAGTATGAAGGGGGTTATGGAGGTATTGAGGGACCATGCGGTTGCTAGCGGTGGGGAGACAGGTGGTGGTGGAGCGGTTGGAGAGTGTGGTGGCGTTGGTAACGGTGACGGGGGTGGAGTCGGTGTGAGCAAGGGCATGGTAGGCGATGCCGCGTCCGTCAAGACTGCTACGACCATGTCGGCGTCCGCCGCGACGGCAGCTTCGCCCACCCAGTGGGAGGGATGCCATCCTCACCGACATCATCATCATCATCATCATCATCAATACCGCCCGTCCTATCATGGCCATGGGAATGGGCATGGGCAGAGCGCTGGCGGTGTCAGTAGTAACGGGCCCGGACGCCTGACTGGAGAGTTTGTGAGGCCACAGTTCACGCCGCCTCCGGAAGAGCGGGAGAATCCGATGGAGAGAATCGAGACGGGGATTGGAAGTGAGAAGGAAGAGAGGGACAGGCGGTGAGTTGGAAGTGTGTCGTTTGTCTACGTACATCTGTCGAGTCCAGGACTCGATGGGACATGGCGTGTTGTCTTCTTGACTTGAGTGGAAGAGCTTTAGCATGACATTTCATGTATTAGTACGCCAATCTTCTTGATACCCGCGGTTTGCTTTCCTTTCCTGGTATTGGGAGCAAGGAAAATCGGTTGGGTGGATGGTTCGGGAAGCACAGCGTTGGCGTTTGGTATAACTTGAAGGTAGCATTAGCATATGGTGTTTTGAATTTGGATTTTGAACCTTTTTTTTTTTTTTTTTCTTTTTTGGATTGCCAGTTGTCTCGACAGACGGGAACGCGCCAGGATCCAGAAACGGTTGCTGCTGCAAGTATGTGCTTGAGACGGCGTTCAGGGACGCAACACCGCCATATACACTCTCTGGTTTAACGGCAGCATTGTCGAGTCAGTACCAGTTTTTGTTGTCCATCTTGAAACTGCTTGATGAATGCTGTGGTTGCTCCGGTATAAGGCGACTTGTTGGTATCCTAGTGGCGTTGGGATCGAGCCCATACTGTTGGGTGAAGAAAAAATGATGGGGATCGCAGGTACGTAAGTGTGTTTCTGGTGGGAGTTAAGAGTTTGTTGGGTGGAAGGCAGGAGGAGTTGGAAGCACATGGATTGGGGGCAACGAGTGTGGAGGGAAGAGGAAGGGACAGGAAGGGACGGGAAGGAAGAGGAAGGGTATATGGGCACCGTTTCGTCCGAGGTAAAGCAAGTTAGCCTCAACCACAGGACCTGGTCCCGTGGCCGAGTGGATATTCCAGCTAACTATGAAATCGTTCTGCACGGTTTCGTAGGGCGGGAAGGTCGCACGTTCGAGTCCAGTCTTCAGACTGTCCGCAAAGAACGGGTGGCCTTCTCGCCTGAGCTTTATGCCACTTTGCTTTTTACATCATCATCCCTCCCCCTTGGGTTTTCTGATCGTTTCTTAGGCTCTTTTGTTTCCCCTTTCTATTTCTCTAGCAGAAAGCCATCAGCAACGAAGGTGACACCAGGAGGAAGACGAGGCCATTCAACTTACGAAGCTCTCTATTTAGTATTCTATAATGGCCTAGACTACAGATTCTGAACGGAAGACAACACTAGCGGCACATAAACATGATATTGAAGGTCCAAAAATCCCCAGGCCGCCCTAGCGAGGCCTGCCTGGCGTCTGGCTTGTTGGCGGGTCACAGAAAAACGTAGTGAGAGAAAGCCTCCACTGGTGTTCACCATACCACTTGGATTTTGCTCATCAATAGATGGTCACGGAGTTACAATAGAGATGGACATTATTGGTATGACTAATTATTGTCGCTCATTCGAACCGCTTTCAGCCTCGAGCCCCTTTCAGCCAAGTGGCTGCCGAGACGACTTTCAACTCTGATGAGGTGGAGCGTCAGAAGGTCATCAACCTCCATCAGATGGTGTATTACCAAGGGGTATTTTCTAGGTAGGGACGCGGCTCTAAACATGCGGACCTCTGAATGAAAACAATCCAATTGTGTAATGCAAAAAGCGTTGCCTGTGTTGCCGCACCCATGTGCCAAGACATTCATTGTGAAGCGGCACCCTTTGTGGTTGCCGGCGTCGCCTCGACCTTGGGGTCGGCTGTCTTTTCCTCAGCAGCGGCTTGAGCAACCGTTTCCTCTGCTCCAACAGGCTCTGGTTCAGCAACAGGAGCGGGACTTGGCTCTACCGCGTCCGGCTTCTCCTCCTTCTCCTTCTCCTTCTCCTCCATCTCAGCAACTTGCGCCCCTGCAACGCCAGTCGCGGCAGAACCAGCGAGATAGTCTTCGGATTCCCCAAGCTGCTTCCCGCCAGCGACCCATCGCTGCCACCGGGCTTCCCGCCTCTCGCTGCACAGCTTGTGCAGGGCTGGCCAATACACCGAGTGGTCGTATTCGAACTCAAGCTTGCCATTGCTGAACTCGGTCCACATTTGCTCGCTTGGCACATACTGGTTCATGTCTTCGTTGAACTTGAGCTTCTCGCGTGTGTTGGGGTCGATGAAGGGCGTAATCAGCCTGAAGAAGCCCGTGACGATCCAGGGCATATTGATGATGAGGGCCCTTCCGAGGCGCTCCGGGTAGTGATGCTGAAGAATGTGCAGGACCTCCCTGGCTTGACCGATGCCCGGTGCCGTGTTGGATCGGTTCTTGCTCTGCTTGAAGTTGATGAGCAGCGCTAGCGTCTCCTGTCCCGGCGGCATGATGTCGAGGACTCGCTCGACCATGTAGACCAGGTGTTGCACCTGGCGAGGAGAGGGCTCCGTGTTCTGGCGCCCGGGATTGAGGTAGTGGCACACACGGGCCTCCTTGTCGTAGCCGAGGATGATCTGCTTGCCCGTCTCGTTCTCGGGAGAGATGTGATCCGCCGTCAGCTCCTCGACGCCATATTCCCGCCGCCACGCAAGCGTCTCGAGCAAGCGCTTCTCGGCATCTTTTTCGTGCCACTTGGTCGCTCGCAGGTATCGCAGCAGACATTCTCTTGTTAACCAGAATTTCTCACTGTCGGTGAGCGGCCCAGCTTTTCCTTTCGTCGAAGGGACCTCGGGCCACGCTTTCACCCGTTCAAGCAGCCAGTCGTACTTTTGTCGCTGGTCCGCGGTCAATGCTGGCCGCTCCTTGGGACGGCTCCCGGGTGTCGGAAAAGCCAATGGCACTTTGAGCGGGCCCGATGCTTTCTCGGGAACCAACGCATCAACGGCGGGCTCCTGCGTGGCAGTTGCGGCCCCCATCTTTTTGCGGACAGGCACGAGAGCTCACCCTTGTAATTATCCCGTAGCAGATTGAGCGAGTGGGCAGGGCTGGAAACTGCTATGTAGATCGACGAGTGTCAGCAAAAGTTGGTGAAGGGAGATTGTTGAGTCTCTACTAATTCAACACACCGCCAGATACTCCGTACAAACAGACAACCTAAGGTACCTAGCTTAGCTTGATTTGGTAGGGGCTTGTCCAGATAGCATTGGGACGGCATGGCCAGCCAAGCGAACCTACCGATTATGTATCCGTACCTCTTGCTCAGACTACCCGGAACCTACTTCGTACAGCAGTATAGCTGAATGCTGACCAGGAAAAAAGGACGAGAGCCTACCAGATTCTCAGACAAGATGTCAAAAAGCATGCTTCGTTTCGTTCACATTTTTAATTCAGGTGTACGGAGTAACTTAGCTCGCATCGATTAGCGGGTTGCACCGATCGGCGGAACTAACCCGGATTAGTTAGCTCTTGGCACTCTTTTTCGCGTTAAGTGGTTTCGTTTCCGGCGCGTCGCAACGCGTCTCGCCCGAACCCAAATATTGATTTGCATTGCCCCTCCATTGACGGTTGACATATGTACTGTACACCACGACAGGCTTGCATATGAACCATTGAGACGGCTTTTGCGATACAACCGCAGTCTCAGGCAACAAACGTAGCAAGGCAACCGCAATGGCCGACGATACTGTCGCAGAGCTGAACCAACGGTTCGGCGCCGGGAACAAGGACTTGGAACCCGATGTCGTCGCCGAGCTCAGGTCCATCATGCGCCTGCACCAGCTGTCTGTCCAGGACCTCTTCTTCAAGTGGGAGTCATACTGCATCAAGATGGACATGAAAGAATTCAATCCTTCAATCGACACGCTTCGGGCTTTCAAGCAAGACCTGCAGGACACTCTTGAGCGGAACAACCGATCTCAGGTGCACATCAAAACCGAAAAGCGAGTCGGCGCAACCCCGCGCGCGGCCAAAGGTGCCAATGTGTTTGGGATGCTGGATGGACTTGCTACACCAGGGCCCGTTAGGCCCGTCAAGTCTTCTTCTTCTGCGAAGAGAACCCCCGCAGTCCCCAGAGTAAGGCCCGAGCCGACAACGAGCTCACCTGTGAAAGTGGAGGATCAGCCAATTTCGCTGGGCAACATCCCGTACGTGGGTTCCCCATATCCCACTGGCCGCGGAAGCTGACCTCTTCGAATCTCAATAGTCCGTCATCCTTTGCAGATCGACCTAACCCTGGCGAGGTTATCGAGATCCTCAACGAGCATTTACAAGCCGCCGAGCCGCCAGTGGCCCCCTTCAACGAGTCCCGCATCAAGCTTACCGCTACCTCAGACCAGAAAAAGCTAGGGTACAAACCTCTCGCAATGAAGCTGTCCGAGGCGTCTGAAATCTTGGACGACCGAATAGACGACTTTGTCGACTTGGTCAAGAAGCACCACAGCCTGGAGGACTCGGCATTCGGCAATCCTGCGAGCCAAGGGACGTCTGAAATTGTCGCCGTCGGCCGCATTGCATCAGACTCCTTAGAAGGCAAGTTGAATGCCGCGTCGCTGGTTTTAGAGACGTCAAGGCGGATCGGTAACGGGCTGCGAGTGCCACTCAATCTAAGCAAGCTTACGGGATACCATTTTTTCCCGGGCCAGATCGTTGCGCTCAGGGGCATCAACAGCTCCGGGCGCGAATTCACAGTCCACCAACTGCTCGACATCCCCCTGCTCCCTTGTGCTGCCTCTGCGCCCGACGCCTTATCCGCACACCTAGAAAGGTTACGTGGCGGGCCCGACGCTATGGCCTCCGACTCGGAGCCGATGCCCCTGAACATCCTCTTCGCCTCCGGTCCCTACACGGCCGATGACAACCTCGACTTCGAGCCCTTGCACGAGATCTGTAAGGAAGCGGCAGACACCTGTGTCGACGCTTTGGTCCTAATCGGCCCTTTCATTGACACAGAACACCCCCTAATCGCCTCGGGCGATTTCGATCTGCCCGAGGATGTGCGCTACGACCCGGACCAAGCAACCATGAACACCGTCTTCAAGCATCTAATTTCGCCCCCCCTCCACCGACTAGTCGCCGCCAACCCGCACATCACCATCCTCCTGGTCCCCTCGACCCGCGACGCGGTGGACAAGCACGTCTCGTGGCCGCAGGAAGGGTTCCCGCGCCGCGAGCTCGGCCTGCCCAAGACGGCCCTAGTCCTCGGCAACCCCATGGCCTTCAGCATGAACGAGATGGTGCTGGGCGTCAGCAGCCAGGACATCCTCTGGGAGCTGCGCCACGAAGAGCTCGTCGGCGGCAAACCCGCCGACCAGGCCCTGCTGTCGCGCGCGTCCCGGTATCTGATCGAGCAACGCCACTACTTCCCGCTGTACCCCCCGACAGACAGGCAGAAGCTGCCCAAGACGGGCACCGCCGAGGGGGTGCCGCCCGGTGCCATGCTCGACGTGAGCTATCTGAAACTGGGCGAGATGGTCAATGTCCGGCCGGATGTGCTGGTTGTGCCGAGCTTGCTGCCGCCGTTTGCAAAGGTAGGTGCTCGTTGGCCCTAAAATCTCTCAGTGCAAAAACGACAGCTGACGTCGGTGAATCTCCAGGTCGTGGAGAGCGTGGTGGTCATCAACCCCGGCTATCTCTCCAAACGGAAAGGTCCTGGGACATATGCAAGGATGACTCTGTACCCGCCCGATATGTCCCGGCTCGAGATCGCCAGTGGAGGGATGGCCCCGCATAAGATATTTGAGAGGGCGAGGGTGGAAATCACGAGGATTTGAATAGGTTGGATATAATACTATACCTTTGTAGCAGCATGCATGATCAGTGATGACAGGTTATTGGGGTATCACAGCCGTAAATATGTACAACTTATTCCGTATGGATACTGCAGCGTCATCTGATAAAAACACGGCTCTATCTCGTCTCAACTCTGCGCCGTTTATCGCTCTCGTGCCGATCCCAGTCCCGTTCTCGGGATGGTGATCGTTTCCGTCGATTGTCCCGGTCGCGCCTAGGAGACCGTGACCGAGACTGAGATGCCCGCCCCCTGTCTCGGCTGTCGTTCCGCCACCGGGAGGAGTCGCGGCCATCGTCGTCATCTCGGCGCCTGCGCTTCTGATCTCGATACCTGTCGCTGTCCCCTTCCCGATCCCGTTCGAAACCCCTGTCTCGATACCGGTCTTCACTCCGATGCTTGTCCCTCCGCTCGCCCAACGGGATAGCATTCGCACCCTTGACCCCGCCGTCGCCCGCCCTGTCCCGATCGCGACGGCGATCATCCGGCTGGAACCGCTCGTCCGCAAACCGGTCAAAGTCACGCCGCTGCCGACCGTCATCCAACCGCCCCCACTGGCCGGTATCTTCAGTCTTGAGATCTCTGTACTTTGTCGCGCCCTTCTTGCCAAGCTTGGTCATGTCCCTCAGCTGCAGCGCCTTGGGCAGAAGCTCGCGGTTCTTGACATCGTCTGCGAACCTCGCGCCCATGATATCCCGCTTATCCAACCCCGCCGCCTTGCTCTCGTCGTGATAAAAGGCACCCTTGTGGAAGTACTTTTGCATGTAGCCCATTTTGCCGCGGCTTTCCTTCTCCTCGCGCTGCTGCGCAAGGTGCGCCTCGTCCTCGGCGCGCCGCTCTTCCTCGGTCAGGTTGCGCCGCCGCTCAATCTCGGCCAGCTCCTTCTCCTTGGCCTCGATGGCGTCGCGCTCGCGCCGCAGCCGCTTCAGCTCGCGCAGCTTCCACGCCGCGTACTCGGCCTCCGGGTCGATGTCGTCCGTGTCGTCGACTTCGTTTTCCGAGTCGGTTGCGTCGTCCCAGTGCTTCTTCCCCGCCGCGCGCGCTGCTAGGTCTTTCTTGATCTGCTCCTCAACCAGCTCGTCGGCCGCCTTGCGACGGGCTTCCTCTGCTGCTGCTTCTTGGTCCTCTTCCGTCTTAACCTCGGGCGTCGCAGCATCCTCCTTCTTCACCCCCGCGATACTCCCCGCCCTTTGACTTTTAGGTATGAACTTTGGCCGGAGCATCAGCCGCCGAGGCGCCTCTTCCTCTTCCTCATCACTTTCTTCCTCCTCTTCACTGCTCTCCCCCTCCTCCTCAACACTCTCCTCCTCGTCCTCGTCCTCTGTCACAAAACCCTCCTCCTTAGCCCGCTTCTCAGCCTCAATCCTCGCCATCCTCGCAGCTTCCCGCCGCCGTGCGTTTTCATCTTCGCCCGCGACGACACCATTCAGGTTGATCTTGGCGTTGTCCCCACGGCTGATTATCCGCCCGGGCCCGGCGGCGCTGGCAAACTTGGGCGGCGGCGCCGTCCTTCGTGGAGGCGCCGTCTTGGCGGCCTTCTGTTCTTCTTCTTGCTCGGAGCCGCTGGCCTCGGATTCTGATTCGGATTCGGGTCCCGGAGGTTTGCCGGCGCGATACCGCGCTGGCTTGAGCGGGTTTGCCGTCATGCGCTTGTGTTGAGTCGGGGGTGGCATTTTGGGTGTGGGTGACTGGTAATTCAAAGCGGCGATGGTCAGGTAGTAAGGGACTTTGGTCGATTATCAAGAGGCGGATGACGGAAGTCGAATTGGAACTTTGACTGGCTTTTGATTTCGTTTCTGCAGAAGCTTGGCTGGGCTGCACCTGAGGTTACACTGCAATTATCTTGGCATGGGTTAGGGTTCTTTCTGTGATCCACGGAGCCATGGAGTACTCCGTACGTACACTGTGTATTCCTCGATCTCAGGGAAGAACTGAATCAACCCATCTCTCAAGAGATGGCAGGAAAGATGGCTTACAAGCGTTAAAGTAGACGTGGACACGGAGAGAGCGAGAAGAAGAGCTGAGTATGAGAGAGGGCACAAGGGCGGAAAGACACCCACAAGCGTTATTCAAAACAGCAGGATCCCATCACTGACACGGCCTTCAAGCCAATACCTTAGTGACTGGATTATCCCCCCACCCCCTTCTTCCGTAGCATGCTAGGAGATTTGGCACCCACCCAAAACTCACACAGAATCAACCATCCTGTTGCTCATGACCCCGGCTTCAACGCCAACCCCCCAAAGAACCTATCCAACTCCTCCCCCTCATCAGGCACCGCCATCTCGCTTGCGCCTCCTGGACCATGGCCGTAGTAACCACCACCAGCGGTAGAAGCCAATCCACCACCACCACCCGCACCACCCCGCTCATACCCCCCCTTGTCACCCACATCCTTGGCCACCTCATCCACCATTAACCTACTACTGCTCCCACCCGTCGCCTTCCGCTCAGGCTGAAGCAGACGAGCATCACTATCCAGCCAGCCGGGGGCGAGGCGCCTCTTCTCGGCCAGCTCGCGCGCGCGGATCCGCTCCTCGACGCGCGCCAGCTCGGCCTCGGCGTCGGCCTGCAGCTTGGCCACGTGGGCGTGCAGCTCGCGGCACGAGGTCAGGATGTCGTCCGGGTGGGCGGCGTGGCCCGACGCCGAGACGACATAGCGCGGTTTTGCGGCGGAGGTGGATGCGGGGTCGGTTGCCCCCGGCGCGGTTGTTGTTGTTGTTGTTGTTGTTGTTGAGGCGGAGGAGGAAGTTGTTCCCAGTGAGGAGGGCGGGAGGGTGGAGGGCATCGGCCGGTAGGTGTAGGGAAGAGTTGTGGCGGTGGGGAGGTTGACGAAGGGAGAGACGGTCAGCGGGACTTGCTGGAGCAGCGGGTGGGTGCCTGGCGCAAAGTGTCAGTTTGATGAGCTGTGCTTTGGCTGCTAAGGTTAATTGAGGGGTAAGCGTACGATTGTAGACCATCGTGATCGGTGGCGTCCGAGCGAAGAGTTAGCGGGTGAGGAGGTTTGCTGTGTCGGGAGACAGATGTTGGATGAGGGGTTGAGGCATCAAGGCTTCGAGGATAAAGTGGTTCCGCCTCGGTACTCGCGTATACAATGTCTGGAATCAGCTGGCCCGGGTCTCTTGTTAGTTTCCGGGCACTAAACTTAGGTTAAGTCGGGTGCTGTCTAGCTCGGTATGAGAATGGACTGGCTCGACTGGAAGTTCGAGTGAGTCGAGTCGGCGTTACCACGCTCCGGCAGGCAGCGCGATAGTTGATAAGATAACGAGCGATAAGAAACGATAAGGAGCTCAACCCCACCAAACTTTTGGTAGCTTCCCTCAGCCTTAAGACCGACAAGTTCACTTGCTCCCAGACATCTCGCCAAATCGCGAGGATGAGCCTCTCGACTGTGCGCTCTCCGTTCGCTCTGGGCGATTACACGCCAATCGCAGATCACCAGGAACAAACACCAGCAAGCTTTTACGACGGAAAACCCGTGCTGTACTACCATGCGACAGCAGCAAAAGCCTGGATCCCCGCCTCGCAGCGGGGGAAGCTCCCCTTCTTCCCGACTGACTTTACCTCTGCTCCAACAGTCCCCGAGAGCAGCGCGCTCGACGCCATGAGGGAAGAGCATGTCGAGCAGAAGGTTGACCTCTTTGTCAACTCTCAGTACGCACATACACCAAAAGCGTCGATCCTCCCTGTCCCACTAACTTTTCCGTGACAGAAACCTCGGGATATTCTGTCCATCCGCCGAATGTGGCGTCTCAATCCCGTACCAACAAATCAGCATCCATGCGATCAAGACCCTCCGTTCTAACAACACCAACAATCAAACCACATACCCTTCTGTCTACCTTCAAATCGAACTCAGCTCAGGCGGGGCAGAAGACGACGACTTTGACACGGTCGAGCTGACGCTTATCCCCCAGCAGCCACAACCTTCAGCCTCAGCCTCGGGGGAGCCAGAACTGGAGTCAGCCGTGCTACCGGCGCCCAAGTCCGAAGCAACCAAGCTGTTCGAGGCCATCTCAGAATGCTCCAACCTGAATCCCGACGCCGTTCAGGACGGCGACGAGCACGATGGGGACGGGGAGGGAGAGGGCGCTCAAATAATCTTTGAGGGGAGCGGTGAGGCGATTGAGGGTCTTCCTGGGGTTTTCGCCGGGTCCAGAGACGGAGGACTGCCGCCTGCGCTGCCGGGGAGTTCAGGGTGGATCACGGCCGAGAACGTGCACGAGTTCTTTGACGTGGAGGGCAATTGGATCGGCGGCGAGGGCGAAGAGGAGGGCATTAGTGGCGAGCTTGGGGATGGAGCCGGAACTGTTCATCCCCGGGGTGAAGACGAGGAAATGACCAATGGGGATGCCGCTGGTGAGGAAGCAGAGAGCAAGCGGCCTAGGAGGGAATAGAGGGACGGCTTTTCTGGGGGAGGGGTTTCGGGTTCAGGCCGGACCTGCAACTTGGTCAATGTCGCGGGGCAGGTTCTCCCGGGATGACCGAGAGCTGCGTGCTCAACATATGTCGGGCACCAGCATTGTGTCCTTCAGAGAGTAGGTAAGCTCACAAAAACCAACCAAATATCCCACCCTCGCTGTTGCACCATCTTTGCCCGTGTCCACATGTCGAATGCAAATCCACTTTTGGAGTACAGCAGATTTCATCTTGTCTCTCGGCTCATGAAATGCGGGCAACTGGATCGTACTACCTAACCGGCCGGACCAGGAGCGAGGAGCTCTTTGTTCAGGCTCCGGTGAAGGCTACCTCTAGGACTGGATCGAGCCGGAGACATACACTACTGTCAGCTTGACAATCGCGCTCCCGGTACGTGTACTGACTTGCCGGTAATCGGGCAGTGGCAATATCTTGATGTTGTGTTTGCTTCTTGGCACTGCAGTGTGCACAGTGAACCCAATGGAATCTCTCATTCTGAAGTATGGGAGGAAGGTGGCAGGGACACAAAGACTGATGAATCTGGAATGTGCGCCTAGAACCAAACAACGGTGGAACCGATACCGTGGGCAATCAACTCATCAGGCCGTGTTAAACTGCCTAACGGAATACCAAACATGTGTCTGAATTCTCCAAGACCTCTTCTCACAAGACGCTTTCACCGTCTCTGGTCCCTGAAACACGCCCAGCCGGCTTAGGAATTGGTATGCTGTATCACATGTCCTTCTTGTCTGAATGAATTTGACATGTTTCTAGGTTTGGAGTGCTGAGTGCTTCCATCGCAACGCAGGGACTGGACATACCAGTTCTGGCTGGCTCAATCGACTGGTCCCTGTTCCTCACAGCATGGGCGTTTCGTGTCCCCGGCCACGTCTCCGGACCCTGGCATGTCTCGCTTTGGCCAGCTTCGTATTTATGTTGCTGGAATTGCCCTACGATAACGTCCTTCGGTTGGCCATCCGGTTCAATCTTCAGAAATTCATTGCTGTATGGATGCCTCGCGCTGATGAGCGTTGGGTCTATACGCAGCCAGAGTTCCAAGTCGACCTGGGCCACGATCTTCTGGTCATCTTGAAGACTGGATATGGCACAAAAGAGAGGGTTCCAGCATGGCTCGACTCACTTAGTGAAGCAAGTGAGTTCAGAGACATTAACATCATCGCCGATTATGCTTCCCGGCCGGGCGCTCACTTCCGCTACCGTGGCGAGGAGATGCCAGTCAACGATATGGTCAGGTGGTCCGTCAGCCATCCAAGCCTGTTCAACTACAATTCGCACCCAAAGGTACAGAAGTATAGACAGCTGGCCAGCGCTGTCGCCAGTGGTGACGAGGAATCGGCGCTTCAACTCTCCAAATCGTTTGGATGGGAACTGGATGCTCTCAAGGTAAAGCTTTAGCCAAAACATCCCACCTGTTATCCAAACTCCCTCTTGACAGTTCGCTCACTCAGACCAGTTTCTCTCAGGCCTCTACTGCGGATACAGCAGATTCCCCAACAAGAAGTGGTATCTACTGGTAGATGATGACACCTTCATAATCCAGCCCTCACTGAAATCCCTTCTCGGGCACCTCAAACCAGACGACCAGCATTATCTAGGGAACGCCATTGGCAGTTTCAGGACGCGCTTTGCCCACGGAGGGTCTGCCATCATTGTTTCACGTGCGGCCATGCACTACCTCGTTGTAGAACACGCGAAGGACCTGTCGTCCGAGTACCTCAACTCACTCGACGAGACCTGGGGTGACCGCCTCCTGGCGAGAGCGTTTCTGAAGATTGGCGTGTACCTCGACGAGACGTACAGTCACTGGTTCAACGGCGAACCGCCCCTCCTCAGCAGAATCCGCGCAGACAGAATCTGCTCGCCGGTCATCTCATTCCACGGTCTCTCGTCCCCGTCGAAAATGCGGCAGGTCGGTGCCCAGTTTGGGAATGTCACCAGGCCGGTTCTATGGCTTGATATATGGGATATATCCGGTTCCGAACCGCCATGGAGGGGTTCTAGGTCTGCCAGATCGAATTGGGACTACGTCGGCAGGCTTGACGAATTCACGCACACTCTGCGGAAGGTGGCGACTGCCGATAAGTGTTTGAGAGAATGTGATAGTCGAGCGCGAACCTGCCTAGCATGGACATGGGAGCCTGAGACACAGAACTGCCATATCAGCCCCTGGATGATTGTGGGCGAGGAAGCGATGGGCAAGATGTCGGGCGTCAATATCCCAAGGGCAAGATATCTCGAGGCCAAGTGCATGCTGAATCGACACAGTTAGCCGGCGTTTTGCAAATACACCAGTCGACCAGCCTCGGTGCAATGTGTCAGGAAGAATGTGACACCGGGGACTGGCGAGCTCGCTGTTTGAGTTTCGGCTCAAGAGGCGCAAGGGAGGCGCCATCCAACGACTGAGATCACTGCAAACAAAGGGTCGGGCCCAACCGAAGAAGATGCGACTTAAACTGCCAGCACTCAAATAGATCCCTTGGCCTTCCTCGCGCCATCACAACCTTTCAAAGATGCGCACTGCATAGGTTGGTCAATTTCGACTCTTATTTTGTCGTGATGAGGGACTGAACGGTTATTGGCCCGATGCAATTACGTCAGCTCTCGGAAAGATGTGTTTTCGCAGCAGAAAGGGTCTGTAAAGCAGTTTCACCCTAGTTGAGAACAACGGCGTACGTCTCTCGCCGCCAGAGGCAGAAAACTCGAGGTGGTTATGGGGAATTCTCGGGCCGAAAGACTGCGGGATTGGGTCTCCCATAGCCGGTGCAGATTAGTTATTGAACAATGATTACGCGTTCAAAGTCCAAATGAAACCGATCGACTGGGTTGGAAGAGTCTTCAATGAGGCAGGATGCTTTGTCGGTGAGAGTTCGGGACAAAGCTCTTTTAATCAGGGAATCCCAGTCGTTCGTTCAACAACAGCGATTGCACTAATTAATAGCGCTGCACCAAGCAGTGTAGATAGCTTGAGTTGCACTGCACATACCAAGCACTCAGAACCCTACGTACCAGCCCGCGCCATCCGAGGAATCCGCGTATCCGCGTATCCGCGTATCCGCATATCGACTCGCGCATCTTAAGGTTGGCATTTTCGGAGTCCGACTCTTCTAACCTCTGCGTAGTCGTCGTCAATCTCAACAAGATGCGCGTTTCCGTCAGGATATCGATGGTCCTTTGGGCCGTCGTCTTCCTGTCGTTGGTTTGTTACATTGTGTCACGCCTGCTCTTCTTTAAGCAGCTTTTTTTCGCGCACGCGGGCATCGCAATCACCCAAGAGCAAGTAGCAGCCGCCTACAACGCCACCGACAGGACGCGGATCCAGTACATTCCCAAAATCGTCCACCAGGTCTTCCACAACTGGCGCGATCCGGGCAATGACACGTTGCCGTCAGATTGGGTCGCCGTTCGCCAGAACTGCATCGACATTAACCCCGATTTCGAGTTCAAGGTGCGCACCGCATCCACCATGCAATGTCGCTCCTGTTGGCCGACGTTGCGCAATCACAATGCTAACGCTCAATTGTGCAGCTGTGGACCGAGAAGACGTCGCGCGACTTCATCGAGGCCGAGTACCCGTGGTTCCTGAGCACATACGATGGTTACCGATACAAAGTGCAGAGGGTTGATGCAGTCCGATATTTCTTGCTGTTGCATTATGGAGGCATCTACATGGACCTTGACAATGTTAGTTTGCAGCCTCATCTCTTGGCATGGATCTTGTGTGTACGGCAACTGACTTTTTCCGATTTTCGGTAAACTTATAATAGGGCTGCAAGGCTGACCTGACTCCCACCCTGTATTATCCCGTGTGGATCACAGATGGGGGCCGAGGCGCCCTGAGCAACAACATACTCGCGGCGCGACCGAACCATCCCTTCTGGAGCCGCCTCACGCTGTCGCTGATCCGCTACAACTGGAACTGGGTGTTCCCGTACATCACCATCAGTTATGCGAGCGGCCAGTGGTTCGAGACGGCGATATGGGAGGAGTACCACGCCTTGCTGCCAAAGCCCGATGCAAACTCGGCCCACGAGCACCGGCTCTACCGCATGATGATGGACGACCGGCCCACCGCCGACCCCTGGGTGTTCTTCACACAGGAGCGGGGCGGTACCTGGGTCAACTGGGACAATCGCATGTTCTTGTTCATTGGCGATCATCTGTTCCTCTTCCTGGTGACCATCTTTGGCAGCATCGGTCTTGTTTTCTGGCTGAGCACTCGCCTTTTGCGGAGATACCGCAACGGCTACACCCGCCTGAAGAGCGTTAACCCATGATTTTACGACGACAGGAATCACTGGGGCGGATCCAGTCAGGTTTCTGGATGAACACGGAAGTTAATACTTCCAGCGTGAACACGGACATAAGACGGACATCGTCTCCGATGTTCTCGTTTGTGTAATACATGAGGTAAGTATGCTTCTGTGAGAACATTGGTTTGGATGTTTCTAAGTTGTTTGATAGAGGCAGATAATGTTTAGATTATGATGATGTATGTATGAGATTAGCATGAGCCGAGCTTGGGAAGACAGTAACGGTATCCGACTGTCTTCCTGTTTGCTCATGAAACCATGGAAATGTACAACAGGTTGAACAGAGCGTCAAGACCAGCATGCTAGCCACATGGTTCGTATAAGTTCCAACATGCTCCCACGAACCGCAAGCCAGCCATGATGGTCGTTGAAAATAAACATAAACCTGGAAGGTTTAGACTTTCAACACTCATTGGAGGGTACTGTACATTTGGGGAATCTCAATCAGGTACCTAGGTATCGCAAGGCTTCGGTAAGAAGTCGTTTCATATTTGTTCCCTTTCTGTCTTCCACATTCATTTCAGTATTCGCTCACTTGAGAGACGCAGGTGCTGACACTGCTACTTAAGGATCTTACTCTCGCCCTCTCCGCAACCTCGATTGAAAAATGAGTCAGGCCGCGAATCACCGATTGGCCAGTTGAGTCTCAAAAGAGCTCTGGTGAAACCCGAATGATATGATCATAATTATCGAGGCACCCTCCAGCAGAAGCTGAAAGCTAATCTCACGATGATCCCAAGAAATCCATTATTGAACTTCGATTGTCGGCCAACACTTACTACCTAGCGACCACGCAGTGGGTTGCCTCTTAAGCCGACAGCGTCATGGCCTCAGCTACGCATCACAGGGTTTTCTTGTCACCCCTGGACCAGTAAATGCCACGAATATACACAAGCATTATCCTGCTTTTTGACACTCAGGACCCGGCACAAGCGGTAGACAACCTCAAAGCCGGATTGCGGCGTCTGAACCAGCGGCTGCCTTACATCAAAGGCCACGTTTCTGCGACTGACGCAAGCGTCGAGAACCGCGGCAGACTAGGCATAAAATGGTCAGCAGCGGACAGAGACATTGAGTTGACTGAGCCAACATTCGATGGCTTAGATGAGGACGGACGAGTCCCCCTGCTGGACATAAGCTTCCCCGAGCTCAAAGGGCAAGGCGCACCACTGAAATACTTCCCAAGGCGCATCATGCCCCTCCCGGTGGTGACCGACCTGCATAGCAGCCTTGACGCTCCCGTTCTTGCTGTGAATTACACGCTCCTAGACGGTGGGCTAACGGTGGGCCTCTGCGTCCAGCACAATGTCATGGACGGCACGGGCATGGTCGAGCTCATTCGGTTCTGGGCCGACTGCACGCGGTTCGCGGATGATTCCTTGACCGGTTGCACCGCCCCTGACCCCGAAGAGCCGCTGCATCGCGACCGCCTCCTCCGCCTCGCCACCACCCGGCAGGATCACAACACCGCGGAAGTAGACAGCGCGCCAGGGGACTCGGAAAAAGCCAACCACATCAGCCCGCAATCCAGCTCCGAAACCGCCGCCTTCCGGGATCTCCTCGCCCGCCACCGCGAATTCCGTCTTCTCTCCGATGCCCCGGCCGCAGCACTACGGCCGTCGGCAGCCCCGGCGGCCGTTTCCAAAATCTTCACCTTTGACACGGCCAAGCTGGAAGCGGTCAAGCAACTAGTACGAGGCTTTTTTCAAGAGGCCGCGTGTGTGACGACGAACAACGTGCTGAGCGCCATCATGTGGTCGTGCGTGACCCGGGTGCGCGCGGCGAGGAGGAGACACTCGGCAAGCGGAGGCCTGGGTGCGCCCAGCTCCAAACTCGGCTTTGCCATCAATGGGCGGACACGGTTGTCCACTACTAGGTCATCTACCCGCGGTGAGCCCTTCAAGGCGGTTCCATTCTTGGGCAATGTCAACCTGTTTGGCATGGCAGAGATGCCTGTGCCGGAACTGCTAGCGGCGTGTCAGGTACCTGGTGGTGGGGGATTGGATGGCGGGGACGGCCATCGGCAGCTGGCGAGAGTGGTCGAAGAGATTGCTAGGGCTGTGAAGCGCGTCACGCCGGGACATGTTGCGGAGGTCATGGATTTGATCGATATGGCGCCTGATGTGTCGGATATTGCGCCCGGTTGGGAGTCGTTGCATGGTGCTGACCTGAGTATCACGAGCTGGGCAAATATGGGGTTGTATGAGGCTGATTTTGGGGAAGGGGTCGGTAGGCCCGAGTTGATGAGGGTGCCGTGGATGACCATGGACGGGTTATTGATTGTCCTGCCGCGGAAACGTGGATTGGGAAAAGAGCTTTGGGATGCAGAGATGCGAGCAGAGGAGGCAGGTGCGGAAACAATCGAGGTTGTGGTGGTGTTGCACCCACAGGATGTCGTGGCACTTGGGGAAGATTCGACCTTGTGCAGTTACTTGCTTTGACAAGGCAGGGGCGCTCTTCAGTTCCATGGGTAACCATCTTTGCGTTCATCGACCGATGAAATGAAGGACACTGAGCCCCATGCTCCAGCTAGCCAGCTCAACCTCCTGCTGATTTCTGACTAGAATCTTCCAGACAGTGGAAACTGGACCATGAGGCGGAAGAGCAGCTTGCTGGCGTTGGAATTTTGGGAGAGCCAAGTTGACCTCGTGACGCACCGATGCTGGAGTTCGCGCCGAATTGCCGCAGTATTCAATACCTTCCGTACCAGCCCTATGGCAGTCGAAGTTTCCACTTGCACTTCCTGCTGTCATCAGTCTCTAAGGTAGTCGAGAGGTTGTACTGTACACGACAGTTGCGTATGCTGCGTAGCCCGAGGGGGTCAGTGAGCCCGGACATTCCTGCCCCTTTTCATCACACCAAGCGCTTGGCGCATGGGGACAACGTCCTTCCATTTCCACGTGGATCAGGCTAGCGAACCGAGACATGTCAACATACGAGCTAGGTATACAGCCAAGCCACGCTCTCTGCAGGCCGGTATTGCAGAATATCGCTAATGCTTCTCGATATTGCCAGAAGTTCCCAGAACCGTGGGCCTGGGACGGTATAATGAAGCTCGTTGTTAAGTTCACGCCTTCCTGTCGCGCAACTTTCTGGTTATTACGGAAACCGTCTTGCTACTGCGTGGGAAGCGTGGTAGCGAAATTGTCCAGGAAGGAGGCACAACCGCTCGCCATGCTTTTTCGAATTTTGCCTGAATGTTGACTGCAGGAGCGAAACGGGCTGTTGCATTTTCCCCACAAACAACGTTTCCCTAACCCAGATCCGGCAGATCGGAGGCAAGACCTCCCACGGTCCACATCCCCCGATTGGGCACCCCTGGCGCCATGTGCCTGGCAATCGCTTTCCTGGAAACGTCCGGCTCCTTTGCTGCCCCTTGTTCCTCAAGTTCCGCCAATCGAATCTACCGTAGCCTTGTCTTCGTGTGGGGTTCAAAGTTTCCTTATTTGCCAGGTCACGGTGTTCAGCTCTCCCTACCTTACTTCTTGGATGGCAAATCCAAGACCGACAAGACGGCGACCAGTCCGATATTCCACCCTCCTCCCGGGCCTGAGGAGCGGCTACGCCAGCATGTTTCTGGGGATTGCCGGGGACAGGGAACCCCAATCCTCTTGGGGGACTTTCATGGCTGCGCCGAGAACACAGATTCCCTGAATTCCAGCTTTCGTTTTACTGTTTCCGCGCGCCTAGACGGATGGTGGTATCCGAGAGCTTCTGTACCGAGATATCTGGGTTGCCCCTTTCGATCACCCCTCTCGCGGCCCACGGCAAATTGGCCGAACCAAGATGCCTGGTCACAATTGCAACCCTGGGAGCCAGCCCAGGGAATTATGAACTTGCTAGAAGGGACAGGGTGTTGAGTATAAAAGACCGTGAATGCTCCTCCTGGTTATGGATATTTTGGGCCCTCACTGTCGACCAATCTTCAGCTCGCAGGCTTACTACTCTGTTCACTGTCTGTGACTTCTGTCCTTACTGATCTCGTTGCACTCGAGATATCTGAAGAAGGGTTCCCGACATGTCCAAGACATCTGCTGTCCTCGCCTCCCTGGCGGGCGCCGCTCTTGTGGCTGCTCACGGTCACGTCAGTCACATCATCGTCAACGGAGTGTACTACCGGAACTACGATCCGACATCGGATTGGTATAACCCAAATCCGCCGACTGTGATCGGATGGACGGCGGCCCAACAAGACAACGGTTTCGTTGAACCCAACAACTTTGGCACCTCCGACATCATCTGCCACAAGAGCGCAGCTCCGGGAGGTGGCCATGCCACTGTCAAGGCCGGTGACAAGATCAGCATAGTGTGGACGCCTGAATGGCCCGAGAGCCACATCGGCCCGGTCATTGACTACCTGGCGGCATGCAATGGCGACTGCGAGAAGGTCAACAAGGAGTCCCTCCGGTGGTTCAAGATCGACGGTGCGGGCTACAACAGCCAGACTGGCAGCTGGGCCGCCGACGACCTCAGGAAGAACGGCAACAGCTGGCTGGTTCAGATTCCCTCGGATCTCAAGGCCGGCAACTACGTCCTCCGGCACGAGATCATCGCTCTCCACGGCGCAGGCAGCCCCAACGGCGCTCAGGCGTACCCCCAGTGCATCAACCTGCAGGTCACAGGAGGCGGCAGCAACTCGCCCAGCGGTGTGCCCGGCACTTCCCTGTACAAGGCCACCGACCCGGGCATCCTCTTCAACCCCTACACCAGCAACATCAACTACCCCGTTCCCGGTCCCGCCCTGATCGCCGGTGCCGTGAGCAGCATCCCGCAGAGCGTTTCGGTCGCTACGCAGACCGCCTCTGCTACTCCTCCTGGCGGCAGCGCCCCAGCCACGACCACCGCTGCCACCAGCACCGGCAGGAGCAGCAGCAGCAGCAGCAGCGCCCGCACTACTACAACCCTAGTGACTGTCACCACGCAGTCGCCCAGCTCGACCATCACCGCTGGGCCTACTGGCGGCGCCTCGCAGAGCAAATATGGCCAGTGTGGCGGCAGTGGGTGGACAGGACCTACCGCCTGCGCCGCTGGCTCGACCTGCTCTGTCCTCAACCCGTGGTACCACCAGTGCGTGTAAGAGGACTACTTAGGCACCCCATTGCCTCATCGAGGGGCAGAGGAAGCTATCAGGGGCCATGGCGAATGGACATTCCGCGGAAATATCGGTTACTGGTGCATGAAAGCGAGCGATTGATGATTTCAGGTGTGAAAGTCGAACTTGGGCCAGACTTCTCTGTATATACTTTTGGGATCTGTATTGTCCCTATTCTTGTCAATACTTAGCGAACAAGGTTGTATGTATACCATGTTTCAACCTCCAGTCCTACTCCTCCTTGACAGTGTACTTCTGTTCGTTGTAAAGAGGACAAATACTGCGTGCTAAATCTTGCCTGCGCTAACAGTTACCGACCAATAACGGACCTTTAACAACCTGTTGCTTGTTCCCCAATGGTTCACTGAGCTGGTGGGATGAGGAAGAGGTGGGCACGAAGAAACCGCGCGTTTCCCAACCCTCCCTCCCTAAGTAAACTGGAAGGGCGATATCGTGTCCCTGTAAGACTGAAGACCAAACCACCACATCGCCACAACAACGCGAGCAACAAGGTCCTAGCCCAAATCCCTGGTTATTCCCGAGAAATGGCCCACGAATTGAGTTATCGTACAGATCCATATTACACTAGTACAAACGGAAGCCCCAACCGCCAAAGCTCAAGCCTCGGATATATCTATCATACCATTCGTTGAGAGGGGAATCACTGACCCAGCGCAAAACCAAACGCCGACGGCCTCCCCTCCCCAGTAACGCCGACAAAAGCACCGCAATGATGCCTACAAATCCCTAGACGCAAGCGCGAACATGTTTCCAACCCCATTTTTCTTTTCCCTTTCCCTTGCCCTTCGGCCTCTCCATCAAGTCAAAAACAGGGGAAAGCATTCTCAACCACTTCTCAGACACAACTAAGTATGCTTTCCGCGGTTCTCAAAACTCGCCGTCTCCCCCACCACCAAGCACACCAGCCGCCCAAAGGCCGACCAGTCCCCACCAACTGACCTTCCACCCGCGCCAGAGGCCATCCAGGCCTTGACCGCGCCGATACACCACCTCGGCCGTGGTGGCGGGGGTTTTTCCCTTCCTTGCCGCTGCCGCACCAGCCGGCCCCTTACTTCTCGAGCCAGCAGGTTGCACAGGGTGAGACCCTTCCTCATTGACAATGGCGTACATGGTGCCAAAGACACCGTCGTACTTGCCCAGGGGGACGATAGTCTCCAGGGACAGTGCCTTTGCCTTTTCATCAAGCCTCCTCCCTCCTCCTCCTCCCTTGGACAGGGGGGCCTCTAGCGCCTGGACGTAGCTTGGGGAGCTGAGCACGGCAGCCTGCCCGCGGCGAAGGATTGTTTCCAGGGGCAGCTTGAGCAGCAGGGCGAGGGACGAGGAGCAGAACTTTGCGATGGAGAAGGTTGTGGGCGCCAGCTCGCGGTCAATCATGAAGTGGCTTCGCAGGACGAGCGGGGTGGAGAGGGTGAGGAGCGGATGGATGAGCGAGTGCAATGTCGTGGGCACCAGGAGCGGGGCGGGACAGAGGTAGGATGGAAGGCTGCGGAGGGTGGACAGAGTCCGTCGCGAGGCGTTTGAGGTGGAGGTTATTATTAGCCTGTTCGCGTGAAAACGCGTGTTAGTGATCTTTGGGTAGTAATCTTGCGTAAAGGGGGTTAACTCTGGCCTACCGTGTGCGGATCATGTCTAGTGGTGAAAGGATGAGCCCTGTAACGACAGCCGCGGTCGCAGCGACGCAGAGTGAGGCCCAGGGGTAAGGTGACGCCAAATCGACTAGGCGGTCCATGTCGTTCCTGACCCCAAGATCTGGGACGTTGAATAGGGCACTGAGCAGACTTCGGGACCAGTTCTCTAGCAAAGACTGCAGCACCGAGTAAATAAACGTCGCGTTCGACCCCTTCCAAACCCCCCAAACACCTTCTTTCTGCCACAACTGCGCGATGACCTCCAGGACCGAATCCGGTGTCCGTATAGCTAGTTGGTGTGCCGGCACTGGTTTAGTCGGGGATCGGGGGGAGTCCGCAGGCGCCGGATGCCTCGGGTTCCTCGACCGGGAGAGGGTTGGTGACGGTGTTCGGGGCTGATGTGATGTGAAAAAAGCGGCTTCATCTAAATCTGAGTCTGAATCAGGCTGTCCATGCTGTTGAGCTATCAGTTGGGTATCGCAAAACGGGGCGTTGCAACACTCGTACCTCCTCATCCATGTCGATCCTCTGACTAGCTTGCCTTTGCCTAACCTCCTCGGCCGCTTCCGCCGCTGCTGCCAACCCTCCCATATCATCCTGACACCTGACTTGCATGATCGTCTTGGCCACCTCGAAAGGCTGCGCCATCAACACGGACGTGTACTTCCATAATAGTTCGTCCACTAGCTCCTTGATAGACTGGACCGCCGACGGCGAAGGCTCCGCGATGTAGTCCTTGTAGTCAATGTCGGAAAAGATGTCGCGAGCTTTGGACGCGTATCTGCCTGTCGAGTTGGCCTGTGTAAAGGCGCGCGGTCCGGGAGTGGGCAGCGATTCGGGCGGCTCCCCAATTGAGGGCGGAATATAGTATGGTCTGAGGGGATTCACCCCATCGTTGTGGTTTGCCATGATGTCGGTAGCATACACACGACCATTATACAAGAAGTAACGATCGTTCAGAGCTCTTGGTGCAGAGGCTTGGGACTGCTTAGGCGGGGACTTTGGCGGTGATTTTGGTTTGCATGACGAGTCGAGATGAAATCATTCGGCGATAACAGGTTGAGAAAGATTAGAAGGCTAAGCTGCAGATTGAGCTATGGCTATTGCATAAGCGGGGCAGCGATAAGGAAATGGGCAATCCAAGGCCCACTGAAATTTCCTATCGGAGCTTGGTTTCGTCCGAGGCGAAAGACCGAGTCGAGTCGATTCGATTCAGATGCCTTTTTGTTTGGGCAAACTCTTCCATTGAACGCTGGCCATATTTGGATATCTTGCCAATTCGCTTGAGGCATTGAGTTGTGCAACGTGAGCGTGGAGTTGGCCCAATTAGGTTGTTTGCTGTTGGTTAGAGCCTTTGCCTCGTTGAGGTTGTTGTTCGTTGTTTCTACCCTCGCCTCTTTCCGGGCACGAACAATCCACCTTGTACTGGGGATTATTCTTCGAACAACGCGAAAGCTGAAATCTGGCAGGTGGGCGCGGTTCTGAACAAGTCTAGAGACCCACCTCGACTTCTCAAATCCGGTCCCCAGCAGAGGGGTATTAAAGAGCGCCCCTCGGTCTTTCCTCAGTTGCTGACCGCTATCCCAGTTTCGCATTCCACCTAGACCACACATCATCATTATGTCGGCACCCAGATTGCTCGCGCAGACTCTTCCGAGCCTGAGAATTGCTCCGAGGCACACCATCGCCTCCATCGCTCCGCGCGCACGATGCTACACTAAAGCTAGCGCCCTTGCCGCTGGTCCCCGGCGGCCTTCACAGCTAGCTGTGCGACTTGCGCCATCCTCAAGCGCCCTCCAGAAACGGAGCTTCGCTGTGTCGTCCGCTGTTTCTCATGGCCATATTGAGCCGCCGAAACCTGGTGAAGAGTGGGTACCCCACATCATCATTACCCCGGGCGACGCCTCTAACAACAGTCGCAGACTTTATGTGACCTTCATCGACAAGGAGGGCCGCGAACATAGGATTGCTGTATCCAAAGGCGACAATCTGTTAGACATCGCCCAAGCCAACGACCTCGAGATGGAAGGCGCCTGCGGTGGTTCGTGTGCCTGCTCCACCTGCCATGTTATCGTTATGGACCAGGAGTATTATGACAAGATGCCCGAACCCGACGACGACGAGAACGACATGCTTGATCTGGCGTTTGGGCTTCAGGAGACGAGCCGCCTTGGTTGCCAAGTCGTCATGACACCGGAGTTGGACGGCCTGCGAGTGAAGCTGCCAGCCATGACGAGGAACCTGCAGTCAAGCGACTTTAAATGAGAACATGAAGAATTCATACCTTTTCCTACCTTTCTCTTTGGGCGGCGTTCATCATGGCTTATGCGGGATTGGGAAAGCATGCATAGATACCAAAACCATGGGCGTGGGCCTCGGTTAGGATTCCGCCTTTTCTATTACTCTTTTCCGGGACGTGCTTGACGTCGTTGCAGCATTTTGGAGGCATGTCAAGATCGTTTGGTGGCTGACTTGTGTATGTATGTACGACTAGGTTTGCCCTCAGAAGGGGCTGTAAATAATAGACAATCAGATACTCTCTGCTCTGAAGGCAGCAATGTTGGAAGATCTGAACCAAATCGTCTAACAATTCGGTACCTCATGCCTTTTACCGTCCCCATTGACCCTTATGCCTCTTCTAAGCCACCCTTTTTCAACCCCCCTCCACCACTCGCAATCAAGTCCAAGAACCCTTTCCTGCTCATCTCCGTGACCTTCTCCTCCCTTCTCTTGACGCCCACAATCCCTTCTTTCCTCGCTTCCCTCTCCGCTTCAGCCGCCTTAACCTGCGCAGCGCGCACCGCGTTGAACAGCTTCACCACGCCGCGCTGCGCCACTTTGCGCAGTCGCTTCTCCATCTCCAAAATCTGGGCCGTCGTCTGCGCGCCTTCCTCGGGCACCTCCTCAATCTCGCCCGTGGCCACGTTGAGCGTGCGCGTCGTGCTCGCCACCAGCACGTCCCGCACCCGCCCCTTTTCCATGGCCAGCCGCTTCTGCTCGCGCAGCCGCTTGCGCGCCTTGGCCTCGAGCGCCGCGTCCACCGCCTGCCGCGCCTGCTCGGCCGCGGCGCCGCTGCGGGCCACGATGGGGTCGGCGCGCCGCGAGACGGGAAGCTTGCTCGACAGCATCTTGGAGATGGACGTTGCGAAGGCGTCTGGGTCGTTGCGCTTGGACTTGGTGCCCGTGTGAGCTGCTGCTGCCCGCGTTGACGTCCCCGCGCCTGCACGGGGACCGTCCGAGTCGTCGGCGCCGGCGCTGTCGGCATCGTCATCGTCATCGTCGGATTCTCCGCCATTTCCGTCCTCGCTGGATGATGTGCCGTCTGAATCTGGAGCGTCTTTGGCGATGAATTCTTGTTTTTTGGACTGTTTTATAGGCGGCTGGGATTTTTCTTTTGAGGGCCGCGCCCCATCAGATTGAGAGTCGGAGTCGGAACCCGAACTTGAGCCTTCCGTAGAGGCGCCATCGTCAACTTGGATGTCATCTAAGTCCTCGTCATCCGAGTCGAGGAGATTGGCCGGAATGGGTCCACCCTCATCATCACCATCTGTGTCGTCTGAGCTGCTGTGATATGCTGCGATTTTCCTCTGCTTTTTTGTTGGCCGACCAGCCCGGCCTTTAGGACCTTCATTGAACGACCGCTTTTTTACTGATTGATTCGACATCTTGTTTTCAATGGTTTGGCCCCAAATCTTCGAGAGAGGACGTGGAGCAGGGAATTGGGAAGGCGGCAGAGGAGGTTCCCCGGAAATTTTTGGCGGTGAGACGCGGCAGTTCTGTGTAAGCACAAGGAGTCGAGGACCCGCAGCACGAAGCTCATGACCCTTGCAAACTTGATCAATGCTAACGTTACATTTCCATCCCAGCCCCTGCTACGGAGTCACGTGGGAGTACTCCGTATAGCTTGTTCCAACGACATCATAAATGCGAATTGTCTGTTTCTGCCGGTGATTTTGGAATCCTGGATCGACGGGAAAGAAAACTGAATGCGAGGTCAAGGACGCTACGGAAGTTTCGGCTGGTTCGAATACTGCACGGGTATTTTACCCTTGTATTAAGTTGGACCGTCTATCCAAAGGTCCGACTACTATTACTTGAAGGTATATATTTATTTACATTCCCCTTTCTCCCTTTCTCCCTTTCTCCCTAAGCTCTCCCAATCCATGTGCCATGGTTGTCCTTCCCAAACGCTACTGGTTACCGACGACGTAGCGAGCAGTTGCGATTCTCATCCGCTTCCCAAACCACATAAGCGGCAAAGTGAGCAACGAAAAAATGGTCATGAGGATGGTGAAGCCGACAAATGGTACCAGATAGCCCTCTCTCTCAACCCACTGAATCACAAAGAATGTCCATGAGAAAGGGATGAGGCCACGGAGGATGCAAATCATGACGAAGCAGTCGCTGGCCAACTGATTGTATGAATCAATGAGCTGGTGCGAGATGTCAGTTCATCCTTCCCATACCCAGAATTACAAAATTGATATCCATCGCACTCACATAGCTGAACCAGATTGACGGCACTTGAGTCAGCGCAAAAGCAACCATGCCATTCCCAAACTCCATCCCAATCCATTGGTTCTTTCCAGGGAAATATGCACACAAGCCGAAAAGGAGGAGCCCGCCGGTGCCAACAGCCAGGGAAGGCAGTAAGATGCAGATCCTGGCCTCAGGTTCTGCATATCCATGGTCCTGGCTTCTTGCTAGCTTCTTCAGGCGCCGATCGACCAACGTTCCGGTGCAGATAGCTCCGCAAACGATACCCGCCAAGGAGCCTAAGAAGAGCAGCCCGGTGTGTTCTCCCCATTCGTACGGGGGATGGCTGAGAATATGGGGCCCAACGGACGAGATGACGGTTACGCCACCAACCAGCCCGCCGTACTGGAGCATGACGACCCAGGTAGCGGGGAGGCACAGAGTAAACCATGGCTTTTTGAACTGATACCAGACATTACCCCGGTACGGGCTAAATCTCAACGATTGCGCATACGTCAAAGGAGGGTACTGGATCCTGCTGAACTCGGCGGGTTCCAAGTAGCTTTCGTACTTGCCGGATCGTGTAGGCGGTGTATCGGAGGGAGCTAAGGCAAGATCGCCCGATGACGAGCCATGATACCAGGTGAGGCCCGGGTTGGGATCCCCCGTCCACTTGAATTTTGACGGCAATGTTAGGCGTATCGATGGAAGAGTCACGAGGCTCAGATATGGGGCCGGCGTCCGAGGCTGGTAACGAGATGGGCGAGGAAGGGTCCTTTCGATTGGAAGGGAGTGTTGGCCGCGATCGTAGATTGTTTCGGGCACCAAAAATACGGTTCCGAGACACGCGATGCCTGTCAAGCCAGCGCCTACCCAGAACACTTCGAACCAACCAAGGCTGTTAGCAATGTAACCGCCGGCGATGCCACCTGTGACGGAACCGGTAGCAAGACAGGCGGTGTAGACAGCCTGTATAAACCCGTCAGTTAGGATATGCCCTTACGGTGGGGTTCTCCAGGACGACGACGATTCAACAAACCATCCAACTGCCTCGCTCGTGGACGAAAAAGAGATCTCCAACAACGGCTGGGGTGACCGTTTCGGAGGCTGAGCTACCGATTCCTTGGAAGATCCTGACAACTAAGGTTATGTCGAAACCCACTAACGCTGTGCCACAGACGGTAGCAACGAAGAGAATCAAGGACGAGATAACGAGGACGGCCCGTCGACCAAAGACGTTTGCTAGTGGGACCCAGAAGATGTTGGCTAGCCCAAGGAAGAGGACGTTGAACTTGACTGGCCCGTTAGCAAAAGTGGGATCTTAGCCGGCAGGGGAATTCGAGATACCGCAACGAACTCCATCAAGTCATGGACTGGCTTCCTTTCGTGGGGAAAGGATATATTCCACACTGGCAGAGCCGGGGCTACCGAGGCCGAGATGAAGTTGCAGGCAAAAGTGTAGAGGCATATGGCGATCATGCAGGCCATCTTTCTCCATCGGTCCCAGTTCAGCGGGTCGGCCGGGTCTGGCGTCGGCAGCGGGTACTTGGCAACGCGATGGACAAGTGTCCCGTCATGCTGGATCACACCGTGTTCTTGTCCAAATAGGGTCCATTAGCAGGGCGGGACGACGAGAAACTAAACAATGACGGGATCCATTACCGAAGAGAGCGACAGTCCCCGGCGGAGTTGCGGCCTTCACCGCCTCGCTCGGCAAAGAGAACGCATATCTCCAGCCAGGCATTTCGACATTGGCGTTTTCATGAGACTTTGCGGGCACGAGAGCGAGGGAGAAAGGGCGAAAGGGCGAAAAAGTCGAAACGACGTAAAAGGCATTGCAAAGCTTCCACCTTGGAAAGGGGGGTTGAATTCATATGGCTCGGAAGCTAAGGGCGAAGGCTGCTAAGCATGCAGGTTCACGGGCTCCGAAACGCACATATCGCAAGGCATTTTCACATGCTTGACCGAGATAGTCGCGGGTTTGTACCTCACCCACGACGTCTGCATTACAATCGCAGTGTCGGGTGGGGGACATGGCCGTGATCAGAGGCTGGAGGGTACTACCGGTGTTCGGTGAGTCTCGATTTAAACACACTCTGAGTCGTCTTCAAACTTCCTACGGATATATTTTTCAAAACATGGAAGATGCTCCGAGAAACTTCACATAGACGCAAGTCATCAGAATCCCGTGCTTCCTTCGTTTCCAGCTTGGAAATTGGAATGAGCCCAACGCCCTCGCGAATTGATGAAACAAGCTCTACAGCTCCTTCCTGGCGAGGCGCAGATCTAACTTTGTGTGGACACGACGCGTTCACACGACACTTACCTAGACTAAGACATGGTGCTCAGATCCTACGTATAAGGTATGTAAACCTTAAACAGCCAAGCCTTCCTGGAAAAGTTTGAAAGAGCAGGGGGGAAATGGGGTTCAATATGGAGGTTGTAAGGGGGTTGAAACTGGGAAGTGAATCAGTGCCTCTCTATGTCCATGGTACTGTAAGGTACCTCCGATCTACAAGGCTTACAAGCAGCTATCCCTTGTTCCTTCCTAACTATCGTATTCTACAGTTTGCACGGATGAACCAGCTTGGCGTGTATTCATTATGGAGCATATCAGAGGAGCAATCCCGCATCCCCAAGGCATTCTCACCATTTTGCTCGAGCCTCGAACCCAAAACTCTCAATCTGGCATCCTGCAGCGCTTTGCCGACTCCGTGGGTGGAACGGAGGTACTGTGTATGTACTCCGTACATACGGAGTACAACGGACAGGCTTGCACTTCTTATCCATTATTGTATTGTACATGGCGACAACGCCACACAAGTCAAGCCTATCCTATTCCATACGAGCAAATCCGCTGCGGGCCGCACCCGATCATGCGCAATACTGCATTTGAGCATCTCGGGCTTTTATAAAGTGGGTAGGAGCTACTGTATTAGCTTCCTGTATTTATTGTGGCTCGGCTGGGCATCTCCCATCTTTAACTTCAAGCCACCCCAACCACAGGAAATACCACCCAATTATTTCATCGTTTTTCAGTCTGCCGCCAATTCCTGCGCTTCCGGGCTCGGATTCACGTACGGAGGTACGGATAACGTTACGTACCCTCTTTGCGACCATGCCGTGGTGGGCTAATGCGAGACGGATGGCGCTCAAAACGAAGCCAGACTGGTCGATTAACGGAAACACATTTCGATATCCGTATGGGAGGCTGACATTGACTTGACCGCCGTTTCGGCGGAGGGAGGGCGTCCCCGTCACCTCAACCGAAGAGACATCCCTGAGCCTCCGCACCTTCGCTAGACGGTACCTCGTACAGTACAATGCATCCCTTCTCCGGTCTTAGCCTCCGAACCAGCTGGCTCGGTGCCTTTTAGGGTATCAACAACTCCGTCATCCCACTGAGCCCCATCTCCGCCGTGCTGCTAATTAGTCCGCCGCGGTGCAACCTTGTCCCAAGCGCGGCTTTCACGTGTTTACCTTGGTGAGCCCACCCCTTGGCGTTACCTCCTTTCGTCCATACCTAGTGTATTGACTTCCGCGTTATTCCAACGGGGAAGAACATGCAGACCCCGGATGACCCGCTAGAGTTTTCGGCCCGTCCGCCTCCCGCCGAGCCTGCCGAAGCTGAGTCAAAGAGCCCGGAACCAAAACGGCGAAAGATCAGAAAAGGTACCCGCAGCTGCTGGGGGTGCAAACGGCGCAAGACTCGATGCATTTATGCCGCCCCAGCAGATGCCGTATGCGTCGGTTGCCAGCGTCGCGGTGCCAATTGTGTCAGCCAGGAATTCCCCGAGGAGATCTGCATGCCAGTGGATCGAGGCCGCCATATGGGTGACAGAATCGTCCGTGTTGAAGCCCTGGTTGAGCAACTAGTGCGACAAGTCGGCCCCGGAGCGGGCGGTCTCGCCGGACCCGTTCAGGATCCCGCTGCCTCTTCGAGCCGTGACCCCAACCCTAGCCCCACCGTGCCGGCCCCGAAGTCCATCAGCTCGGAGTTAGGGCGATGCTTGGGCATCAAACCATGCTCGGTATGCACGTCCGCCTGTATGATTCACGAATACTCTGAGCGGCTTCTCACCAAGACTAGGACGTAGCGGCCTCTGTGGAAGATGAGAACTTGGAAGCCCAGGTCGCCCTCAGTCTTAGCAAGACTCCAAATGACCGTCGCCTATGGGAAGCGCTTTGTGAAGCATTCCCGCCTTCGGGAGACATGGAAATCTATCGCTCCCGGGCCAGCCCAACCATCCTTCTTTTCAGCATATCGATGCTGAAACCTTTGCGCATTATTGAGCGGGACGGGCCGCCTGACCTGGACAGCGTGTTCAAGCCGCCGTGTCAGGATACGCATCCGGTGCTGTTGGCGAAACATATGCTCATACTGGCACTAACCTTGCACTATGTCCATTTGAGTGAGACTCCGCAATTCCCCGGCCTGTCTGAAGCTCCCCGCGACAGGATGCGGCGGCTCGGCGACACGGCCATCCGCTTAGTGGTGACCAATAACGAATTCCTTGGCTCCATCGAGTCCCTGGAATGCTTGGTGCTGGAGAGCCAATTTGAGAACAACTGTGGCAGAGTCCGCCGAGCATGGCTGACATTGCAAAGAGCAACGGCACTTGCCCAACTGATGGGCATCCATCGAGGCGGCCCACACCGGCCGCTGAAAACGATTGACCCCGGGACAGCAGCGTATCCACAATTTTTATGGCATCGGATCCTGTGGGCGGGACGCATGCTAAGTCTGCTGCTTGGTCTCCCGCAAGGTACGCTCGACATGTCGATGGCTTCGCCAGCCGCCCTAGCTAGCGACGCTCCAGTCGGTCGACTCGAGCGCATTCACTCAACGGTTATGGCGCGGATCTTGGAACGCAACGAATCGGATCCCGACTTGGATGGGTTTGCACTGACCCAGGAGTTGGACATGGAGCTTCAAAATGCGGCAAATCAGTTACCCAACAAGTCATGGCTACCCTTGGACCTTGGCAGTGTCGATGGAGACTCTCTGGAAGGCTTCCGGCGCAGTGTACTGTTTGCGCGGCAGGTGCACCACTACTACTTGCTCATCCAGTTGCATCTGCCTTATATGTTGCGCTCGAGCGCGCCAGGGGCCAAAGGGGCCAAGTACGACTACAGCAGAAACACGTGCGTCACGGCCTCGCGCGAGGTCATCACACGCTGCTTCACGTCTCGATACCAAACGCGCATGCCCTTTTACTGCCGACAATTAGACTTTTGGTCTCTCACGGCTGCCCTGACGCTGCTATTTGCCCATATTGATGGCCACGCCCAGCGCCCGGGCGACAACATGCTCGCGCATCATCGCGCAAGCGACCGTGGCATGGTGGAAGCCGTGTTAGAGCACATGGACTACATGAACGAAATAAACAAGGATCCCCTGGGTGAGAGAAGCGCTGAGCTGTTGCGCCGCTTGCTAGCAATCGAGGCGTATTCTGCCCGTGGCGGCCGGACTCCCAGCGGCAAGGGAGTTGGCAACCTTGACTCTCCTGCCAACGGATGCTTGAATGGTCACGGGACGCTGCGCATTTCGATCCCCTATTTTGGGGTTGTCAGAGTAGACCCGAGAGGGGTCATATCCAAAGAAGCCAATACCGCTACCGCCACGACCAACGACAGTCCTACCACGATCACGACGTTCTCCCTTTCCACTGTCGTTGGAAGCCCACCTTCCCCGCTGTCCGCCTACCCGCCGGACTTGCCCAAACATCCGCCGCCCGACCCGCAGCAGCCCTTGCGGCAGGCTCCAGCGCATATGCAGCCGCAGCCGCAGCCGCAGGAGCCTGCACGAGTGGCGGCGGGACCTTGTACGCAAGCTTCGGCAGAGCCGTATGCGGACATGCCAGCGTCTGCACGGCCTCTCTACCACCACCAGCAGGACCAGCACCAACATCCAGCCTGGCTCCAGCAGCCTGCACCATCACAGTATGCGGCGCCTTATCCCGGGGTCGCTAGTCACGCCATGCCCGCATTCGAAACCCAGCAGGCGCTACAGTTCAGCTACCCCGCCCTTACAGCTGGACTCGATGGTTGGGCGTTGCAGGGGTTTGACGTGGCGTATTTCGACAACTTGATGAAGGGAGCCGCGGCCATGGACGCGGAAGGTGGTCCTGGTCCCAGCGCAGATACCAGTGGCGTGGGTTATAATGGGCAGCCTGCGGATGGTTGGGGCCCTTGGCAGTGAAATACTCTGGTAACCCATATGGGTTACGTGTGATTGCGAGCGAGATGGGTGGATGGACGTCATCATGTTGTGGATTGAGTGCGTTCTCTGGGCCTTTGCCGTTCTGGCACTTAAGGTTCGTGCTGTGGGTTTAATACGGTGAGTGTGTTGCTTGAGTAAATAAGGAGGGATGAAGTGGCAGCCAGGCATTGCGATACCCCTGGCAACCTGGGCCATGGGTGAGTAAATCGGGGTGCCTGTTCGGCGTTCATCGGTTGAACATATTCTGGCCTTGATTTATAGTCTCCTGAGCTGGCACTAAAAGGTAATCATGGCATACACCCGCGGATTGTGTGTACTTGGCAGATTCGGCCTTTTTGGATGAAGGAAGGGTAGGGAGGTCCCTGAACAGGGACTGCCATTCTTGTGTCAACGTGAGGCCACCTGATTGGTCTCAATGTGTGGAGGATCGGCCTGATAGTGTGCGTCTGTTACCAAGGTAGCTATTAGCTGAAGGTTGAGCAATTGACGAGTTGCTTGCATCGCTTGTGGCAGAGCCTCAGAAGCCGGATTGGAATTGTCTTGGGAGAGTGGTGGACTGACAATTGTTTGAGGATCCTCCTCTGGTTTGAGCCCCCTTGACAGCAAAAGGCCTTTGGATACTTCCAGTATAGGCTTTCTATAAGACCTGATAGAGATACCAACATGTCCCTCACGTTCCCAAGCGGATTAAACCGTACTTATGCAATCATATCCAACCACAGTAGTCTATAAGCCCTTACCAGTGCCTCACAAGCCAAAACCCCCTCCGCCTTTCCCATGGCATCTCAGCCGTTGTTCAACCCAGCCACATGCCTGTTGAGTGAAACTGGAGTAATGCTTTACAAATGCCCTGAGATGAGAAAACCTTGCTACCGTCTCATCTGAGACCATCAAGTGGGAAAGTTTGTGTATACACAACGACAAAAGGAATGGAAAGTCGCCGCCAGTCCCGTCCCTCTCAAATATCACCCAGGTACGTTCCGTAGGTAAATCCTCATGCAACACCCCCAGTTGCTTTCACCATCGAATGCCTGAGCCGCCTGAAATTGTTAAACAGGGACGCCACAAACGCCAGGCCGCACGCGCCCGTGGCAATGGCCAGCGCCGTCTTGATGCCCGCCATGTAGGCCACCAGGATCCCCGGGACCTGCTCGGCGGGAAAGACGGTGCGGATCTGGGTCGCGCCCGTGCCGAGCAGCAGCAGCGGGTTGACGTCGGGCGCCGAGGTTGCGAGGCGGGACATGAGCGAGTTGACAAAGGCGGATTGCGCGGCCGAGACCCAGAAGGCGCCGCCTACTGTTTGAAAGACTTTTTTTTGTGTTGGATTAGGTTCACGTGATGAGGGGGGAGGGGGGAGGGGGAGGGTTTACTGCTTACAGAGGATGATGGCCGTCACGGAGGAGAGATCTTCCGGTTTGGCCGTTGCCTGCCCGATGATGATGGGCATTTGGAATGAGGCGCCCCAGGCGATGCCGCCCAGGATCTGGTAGCCCACCCATTTCCATGTCTGGATCTGGACGTCGAGGGTGTAGAGAAGACCCGAGGCCACGGTGGCGACGACGGCGGAGACCACGGCAATCGAGGCGGCGATGCGTGTCGTTGACGCGGTCGCCCCGGCGACAATGGTTGCGACTGTCACCGAGAGGATCAGTGGCAGGTTCTGCACGCCCGACTCGGTTGGGCTTGAGTCGCCAATGCTCTGGAAGTAGATGGGCAGGTAGTAGATGGTGATGAAGTAGGAGCCCGCGTAGAGGAACAGGTACACGGACCCGACCCAGACGCCTGGGGTGCAAAACAGCCGGGGTACAATCATGGCCCGCTCGCCGTTGTAGTATTCCCACGCAGCGAACGCGGCGAAGATGGCCACGAACCCGATCAACAGGCAGATGACGGTCGGGTCGTGCCAGTCCATCGTCTGCCCGCCGTACTGGAGGGCGAGAATGTAGGCAATGACGCCGCCCATGACCAGGGCAGTGCCTAGGAGGTCCATTTGGAGGATCTTTTCCTTGAGTGTCGCCTCTTTCGGCTTGGCGCCCTTGGGGGCGTGGAAGAAGAAGGCAATGATGAAGGCCGAGAAGCCGCCGATCGGGAGGTTGATGTAGAAACACCACCGCCAGGTGACGCGGTCGGTGAAGGCGCCGCCAAGAATGGGGCCGACGACGGCCGCAACGCCGTACGAGGTGCCAATGATGCCCGTGAAGACGGGCCGTTTCCTGGGCTCAGCCGCAAAGGCGACGATGGTGTAGGCCCCTGACCCGATGCCAGCTGCACCGACGCCGGCAATGGCTCTTCCGGCGATCAGAGTTGTTGAGTTGGGTGCCACGCCGCAGATCAGGCTTCCCAGCTCAAAGACGCAGATGGCAACCAGGAATCCAATCTTTAGGGGAAAGTACTTGAACACCTTGCCCCAGGTCGACTGAAAGCCACCGACCGTCATGAAGAAGGCTGAGCCATACCACGCGACGTCTTCAAGGCCCCGGAACTCGTCTGTGATCCTGGGGATAGCGGTCGCAACGATTGTCTAGCGAGAGTTAACCGTGGTTGGTGACATGAAGTTTGAGGGCGCATAATGCTTACCATATCGAGCGAAACCAAAAAGATGCTGAGGATGAGGGCGACAATAATGAAGGCGAATGTCCATCCTGTAGGATACTCAACGCCATCCGCCATGCTACCCGGCTCAAGGTCCCTCTTCTCATCTTCGCTGCCCACGAATGATGGGGCACGGGTCGTCTCGCCGCTTAGATAGGCCTCGTACTTGAGTTGATATCCTGATGGGCTGAGGCGGGATTCTCGCGCCCTGCTCAAGCTGATATGTCCAATGTTTGTACAAGTGCCAATGGTCTGGACCACTGGCTTCGATGTAGGAGGTCGTGCCATTATGGTGATTATCACGAGACTGGTACTCGAAGGTAATGCTGAATGACGGGTCCCTAGTCAGGCGAACCCCAGGATAGGTGGGAAACGAGTTGACGTATTACGGTCAGGGGCTCAAGATAGCGCGACGGAAATCTGGGCATGATCAGTCTTATACCTAACTATGCACGCCCAGCTATTTACAGGCACATCCGGATGCGTGTAGACGGGTAGCCCTGTGCCACAAACAGCTTCATCTGAGTCGTCCCGGGTCTCGCGCAACTCCCGGTCCCGAGGTCATTTCACTGATCAAGCATGCCGGGATTCGTACGCCTTCCTTCGGGGTCAAGCTGGAGTCCTTGTGGCAAGACGCAGAGCCATCGAGTCACGTTGCCGAGGACTGCATTTCACAACATCAAGTAGCGCATTGATGTGTACTTGTCGAGTTGCCTGCGCTGGTAGACCTGTGTGCGCCATCGTTGCTGCTCAGTGTCACCCGGTCTTGAGAGGATCCTGGAAGTATACGAGACTGAGACGGCGACAAAGGGAAGGATACCCTCTCAAGGGAGGTGCAACAAACTCGGATCCTCGAAGCAGGTGCAGCGAGGCATGCACCTGGGCGCTGGCCCAAGGCGGCGAGAAAGAAAGTCATAAGGCAATGCATTGCGGGCTTGGAGTTCGCTAAAGTCTCCGACATTAAACTCCGGACTCTCGCCTTGCAAGTGTCCGTCATTGACCAACGCGAAGCAACCGTGCCGAACATCAGATGCCAAGCTTCACCCCCACAAAATCTCTGGAAGAGTTATCCATCAAACATAACAATTCCAGATTGGAGATGCGGAGAACGCAACTGGTAGAAGGGAGAAAGGACTAACTCCCTTGTGCTTATATATGGACCACAAAAGACGTGCGATCAATGGTCATGATCTTTTAATGTAATTGTTATCGTGGCCCACGCCAGATCCACCTCGACGACTAGCCATCCATATATAGGGCTGCGGGCCTGTCTCATAAGAAAAGCTCAAGGTTAAGTTCCAACGTGCTAACCGGGTATCTGCCACTTGGTTAGCGCCGAAGAGTTCCAAGGATGGCAAGCTTTGCATAACATCATACCTCAAATCAAACTTGTCGAGGACGGTAGGATGCAGGATACCGAGCTCGCCAATGCGGTGCAGCTTGCCGTTTAATCGTACGTAGATGGCAGCAGCACGCCCGTTGAAGAAGGTCGGGTCATCGATACCTTTGATAAAGTAGCCAGCCTTCTTACCAGGCTTCTCTTCGTCCTGGAGGGCTTCTTCATGTGTGAGGAAAGACACTTGGAGCATCTTCATCACCCTGTCAAGGAGTCCGTGGACGACCTCGAAGCCGCTCGTCTTACCGCAGTAAGCTGCGGCCCAGTGACGCTCGTTCCTGGCCTGCCGCTCAAGGGACTCATCCTTGAAGACAACGTCCGAGGCCTCAAAGATCTTGACGGGAAGCGGCACCGCCTTGTTCTCGCTCAAGGTTTTGAGTAGACCAGGTAGCAACGATGTTCGCACAACCTGATACTCAACGGTCTTGGGGTTGGCAAGCCTAACAACCGTCTTTCCATCGTCTTTGCGGTTGAGATACTCAAAGTTCTCCTCATGGGAACAGAGAATGAGGGGCATGACCTCGGACCAGCCAGCCATGGCACACTCCTCACGCACGATGTCGCTGAGCTTGTTGATCATCAGCGGTTTCCCAAGGGTGACCGACTGATTTGGCGATGAGCGCGGGAGATCGTTGAAGCCATATGCGATGGCAAGATCTTCCATCTGGACAGCCATATTGTCAGCTAAGTCGGACGGACCATAGCACTGACCAGGGGAAATGGAATTCTCAACCTACCACGTCACAAGGATGCAAGACGTCTGCTCGTGTTGGCGGTACTGTGACCCTGACGAACTTGGGGTCTTGCGATGGCTCAGCCGTGTACGCCATCTTGCTCAGGAGCTTGCTTATCGAGGCGGGCGATTCCGACAGGCCGCAGAGTCGGTTCAAATAGTCAACTTCGACATCCATGGTCCTGGTTGCAAGGCTAGGTGTAATCCGAGTGGTACCGTTGTGCTCCGAGATGACCTTGACCGGTTCAATGGTGAAGGGCTCTGCACAGTACTTGGAAAACATGGTGACCATAATGTTGCAAACAATGTCGAGCTTGGTTTGGTCCGTCGCTGTCATATCGATGAAGACATTCCTCGTCTCAAGCGTAATCTTGGACCGTTCGCTGTTGATGATGGGAGGGAGGGAGCAAACGTTCCTATCAGCATCTAGAATGACCGGGTAGACGGGCTTATTCTGGAGGATGTGGAGATAACGCCCAAGATGCTTGTCGGTCTCGTAGAAGCTCATGAGCTCCTCGCCGTTGATCTTTTTGGTCTGGTTCAGTGGCACAAAGTTAATGTCCTTTGGCGGCAGGGCCTCGTAGGTGAAGGGGCCCCTGATAGTGTCGAGATCGTGGGTGCCGATGCTGCCCGTCAACCATTAGTACATGCTGCTTACAACCACGTCCCCTCGTGGGAATCACTCACGCAACCAGGGTACGCATCCTCGCCAGATTCTGGTGCAGCTTGTCTTGGAGGCTGATGAAGGAGTCGTACGAGGCCTGGGTGAACTTGACATTGCGGAGGATTGCGCCGGCAGCATATGGGCGGACTTGCTCCGTTTCTTTGGTGATGGTGAGGGTCTGCATCTTGTCGGCAGGGACATCGGCTAGCCTCCAGTTCGGGATTGGGTGTTTGCCACGGAAGATGTTCAGGTTCATCGCGATTCCTGTCAATCCTTAATCAACAACTGTGCCTTTGAAGCCCACGGGTGCCTAGGGGAGCATCGCACCCTCGAAACATAACATATCGTAGCGATTCGCGGGGATCTCGATGGCCAGCTCGGGCGCCTGGTCTTTGGGCCGTGTCGGATCATTTTCGGTATCGTCATCCAGCTCGATGCCGAAGTCGAAGCACAATTTCTGGAAGCCATCTTCGGTGAACCTGAACCGGCGTCGCGTGGTTAGTCGCTTCGACAAGCAGAAGATGTGGGTAGTGATTGAGCGATGGCGGGGTAGCTAAACTCACTGCTCGCCGAGCTCCTCGAACAGAGCGTACTTGTCGACGTGTATGGTCGGCATATTGTACTTCTGTTCGCTGTCCAAAGCCTGAGGGCGTCCTAACCGAAATTGACGTTTGCAAGTCCCTTTGGGCCAGCTGAGAAAACGTTCGCGATACAGGAACTTTTTTGACACGGTTCGAACCCAATGCGGGTCAATGTGAATCAGAAGCAGTGACTCAATGCGGGACACTTTTACTGCCAGCTTTGACCGCCTGTTTGGCAGCCCCACAACGCTCGCTTATCGGAAAGTTGGTCCCCGACTTTTGTGGAGTGCCTGAATTTTCAGACACACCAAAGTTCAAAACCGGCAAGCGGGCACGGACCATTTCAGACGCGCACGGGCCAAGTGGAATGAGTATATATTCATGGCTTCCCTCCCAGCTCTTCCTCCGCTTCTCTTCTTTTTTTTCCTCATACTTACCTTGATTGGGTACACCTGGATCAAGAAGCAGGGGTACCAGGGCGATAGGCCTGCATTGCACAGCGTGGAGCCGGTCGCCTTGGATTGTCCTTCGGGGCCGTCCCGGTCGTAATTTTTGCTGTCCACAATCAATCTTTTTCACTGTGATCACTGCCTTGAGTAGCGACATGGAGAAGAAGTTCTTCGAAGTTCAACGATGGTCAATCCGATGGTCAATCCGATGGAACACCAGGCTCCGTACCGGAAATTCCATGGTGCGGACGGCAAATGGTCGAAGGCCATGGTGGCGCGTGAAATGTTTGGTTTCACCCATTTTGCTTTGCATTCAAGATTCATCATGTCTCGAGCCGTATCTTAGAGATCGCATCATACCTATCTGAAATCGATGCAGTATTCTGAACATCCTTCGCACGCACATAGGCTACACTCCGTATGTGAGATTTGGATTACGACACCAAGTACTCCGTAATTGGACACTTGTTGAAAAGACAGTTAACCTCAGTGTATTAGAAAGCCCTGGTATCTCTGCTTAAAATCACCAAAGACGAGAAACACGGATAAAATGTCATGAGAAGATCTATCCTGAACAGCCACATGCCGATGTAAGAACCCTATATATCCCGTATATGGAGCGCACCCGTAAGATGACATGCTGTGAATGCCATTGTATGCTGAAGAGGCATAAGCAATATGCGGTAGCAAGATGCACTGCAACCGACAGGAGGGGATATAACCAAAACCACAAGTACAAAAAGTAGCAGAATAAACACGAAAAACAGGAAGGATAAAGCAGAAATCGAAACAAGAGACATCCCAGAGAAATGGACACCGGTGAAAGAAATGGAGAGAGCAAGAAACAGGATCTCGTCCAAACAACAAATTCAATCCCATTCATTTACCCATCAGCCCGGCTCCAATCTCGTTCTGCGCCATGAACGTCCTCGCCAACTCGTCCCCTCCACGCTCAGCGGCCTCCATCCAGTGGATCGCGACGCACATCAGCGCCGGGTCACTACGCACATCTCCACCCACGCTCATGCCCGGCCCTGATCCCAAACCGGCAGCGACGTCCTCTATCCCACCACCACTTGCTCCGGCAGCGTTGCTGCCCGTGTTGCTGCCACCGATACCCTGTCCTCCTCCCAACCCAGCGCCGCCGACGCCGCTGCCACCACCGACACCACCGCTTCCCGATTGCCCCACTTGGGTTCCTCGCAGCTGCTGGAAGGTGATGCCCTGGTGATACCTGCTGCTAGATCCCGAGCCGGCAGGGCCGGATGATCGGCCGCCCCCGTATTTCTCGATGACGGCCTGCTTAAAGACCTCGCGCGGCTTGCTCAGCGGCAAGGTTGTGCGCTCCACAAGCTCAGGATTCGACAGGTAAAAGATGGCGAGCTCACGCTGCGCCGTGGGATCGCCTTCCTTGGCCGTGATGGTCCACATCCGGGCGGCATCCGCGAGGGAATACGAAGTCATGGGGAGGGGCGAGGGCGGAGACGAAGGTGGTGCGAACGCCTCGGCAGCTCCAGGAGTGGTTGGAGTGCCCGCGGCCGAGTCAGACACAGTGCTGCTTGTCCCTGGCCTGTTGTTGTTATTACCATTATTTCCAATGCCGCTCGGCCCACCATTCCGCGATTGCGTGAAATTCTTGACGATATCATCTGCGACTTCGACCATGGTCCGGCAGACCTCTTGCTTCAAGCCCAGCGCTGCGAGCCCCGCGTCCCAGAATGCTTTTCCGCGTTCCGTTTTGTCTAGGATGGTTGGTGGCACAAATGCGGAAATGAACTGAAGATCCCGGAAAAGTGTCTTTGGTCGAAGGGATGGATCCCGGAAGAGAGATTGGAGTATGTTTGCGATGGCGTCTGTGTTGGCAGGATGGACGGACACCACCGAGCGGGTTTCCATGTTGCCTCCTCCACCAGGCGCCCGTCCGGATTGACCATGAGCAGTTGTGCCAAACGCGGGCGCTTGTAAAAGCGTGTGTGAACGGCGCTCCTTAACGTTATCGATCGTTTCTTCCAGTTGGTGAGATCGGCCTGTCCCGACGCCGGCCCCATGCTCATCAGTGGCCGAGGATGCTGAGCCCAGCTCAGACCGCGCCCAGGCCAGCCGAGCTCGCCGAGACCCGGAGTTCAAAGAGGCCGTAATCAGATGCTCGAGTTCAAACAGTGCGTTAAGTTTGATATACGGATTCGGGTGAACACAAAACATTTTTAACAATCTCTGGTAAGCCTTGGTAAAAGGAAAGTCCGGCAATGATGCTTTCCTTGACTCCGGGGTCTTTTTCTGAGCCGATATGGTGTCGCTGGTGGCAGAGCTCTCATTGCCATGGACGCTACCGCCGTGGACGCTGCCACCATGGCGACTGCCGCCGGCTGCTTCTGGTCCCAGGCTCTGGCTGTCAGACACGGCCTTGTCGCTTAAGGTGTCATTGCCGCTTGCTCCTCTCAGCTCGCCGAAGCTACGCCTCCTCTCAAGAAGGTGCAACTTGATACCGGGCTTGGCAGATCTCCGCTTTTCCTTGGCCAGGGCTTTACGCGCATGGCGCTGGATTGCCTCTCGGCGGTCGATGCACTCCTGACCCAGGCCCTCAAACCACGCGTCCGTTTCTGATCCGCGTGCAAAAACAAGGTTTCCTAGGTCGGAGAGTAGAAGGCTTGTCAGAGTCTGCCTCAGTTCGGTGAGAAAGCGAGCCTTTTCTTCTGATAGTCGCTGCTGATAGACTGTCTCGTTTGATGATGTCGATGTGCCCGGCCGGCCGGTGGAGGATTGAGGCTGCGAGTGGAGTTGGTTGTGATGCGGGGGGTGAAAAGAGCCCGACAGGTTAGTCAGACTGGTTGTTGGCGAGTGCGCTCTTGATGTGGCAGTTGGAGAGGTGGCTTGATGCTGGAACGGCGACCAGAATGTCGCGTTGGGGTCGATCTGGTGGACCGGAGACGACGCGCCAAAGTATTCCGGCCCGTCAAGTACTTCGGACATCGCCGTGCTGGCTCGAGAGAAACTGAACCGGCTGCCAGAGTCAAATGACATTTGGCTCATGTTCTGCCCTGACATGGCCCGCAGATCTCTGGTGATAATAGACGGCGGGCGGCTTACAGAGACAAACCGCCGCTCGGGATCGCTAATGACACTGACTGAATCGTCCCAAACAGACTGGTTGTCCCTGTCCCGATCTCTCATGTTCTTGTTTGTCTCAAACGTGCGGCGATCTCGAGCATAGAGTTCACTTGACCACAACACTGGACCGTCAATGATGCTGTCCCCGACCAATTTGCTGATACAATTATCCACCTCTTGGCAAAACCGGTGTATACGCTCTTCGCCCTGGCAGAAGTTTTCGACAGAATATTGTTGTAACCAACGGGCTGTTTTTTCTACTTGCTCGTCACGAAGCTTGTTTGGGCCGCCTTGGTCTTCTGGTGCTGCCAAGAGGTCGAGGATTTGGGACTCAGTCCTGAAAATGTAATTCGAGGCAGGACCCCTTTGCATATGGCTCTTGATGCGTTGAAAAGAAGACCACCGCCTGGGCGTGCCCATTGTCTTCAAAGCAACAGCAACATTCCGCGAGTCCTCATACGGCGCCGAATTGCGAACGTCAGTAACGTACCACATCTTGTCTCGCAGAGCTCGTAAGCGGCGCATCATGCTTTCAATAAGGCCTTCAGCCCGCTCCTGGCTTTGTTTGAGCCATACAAGCCAGGCATCGTACTCCTCGATAGCGGCGGCTGACCGGCGGATCGAGTCACGCGGTCCACGGGAGAATATATTAAGCAAGGCAGCATAACCGTTACGGCGAAGGGACTCGGATGTCACCGCATTGAGTTGCTGCAGTGTTCTCCAATATAGGTGAGCAGAAACAAAATCAGATTGGGCTCGAGACTGCGAGCAGGCTGCGGTCAGCATGGTGATGAGCGGCGATGATGACTCTGCTCCTTGTTCTGGGTCTTTCCCTTTGGAGCTTCTGGGAGGGCTGTCGGCGATGCTGCTCGCGATGCTTGCTGCCCGCTGGCGGTAAGGATTTCGGCTCGCCATGGGGGTGATGATACGATTCTTTGAGCGGTATTTCTTCAAGCTTGAAGCGCGGTTGCTAAAGGTCTGTTGCCTGGCGCTGTCGCCTTCAAGGCTCTGGGGGATCTCGTACTCCTGGACAAGCTTGAGGATAGAATCGCGTAGCTGGTGATAGTCCTTGTCCAGTTCCGGCCGATCATCTGCAGATGACTCGCCTTCGGTGTCGCTTGTGTTGGACGAAGTCTCGTCCTCGTCGAGCTCATCGTCTGGATCGAATGTCATCTGGGTAGAGAGCTTGTTTCCATCGGCCGAAATGAACAACACAGCCCATCTTTCGGCGCATGGGTGGCACGAGCCGTACACAACATCTTGGCCCAAGATTTGCGTCATTTCATGCATCGCCAGACGCAGCCGGTAGCCGTCTTCTTCGTATCTATGTGATTGTTTCTGTAGACTTGGGTCCTGAGCTGGAGGGGAGTAACGGGGCGGACTGCCCTCTTCCAAAAGCGGCTCCCTAGAGGTAGTAGCATCGCTGATGAACGACTCAGCGCTGGTACTGATGACGGACATGGTGTCAAAGTTGCTCGGCACCGTCCTTATAGACAATGGCTGTGAGATGGCAGAAAATCCAGACACGGAGGGTGCGCCGGACCGTCGGCCGCCCGAGTGCGACGATAGCGGCCTGCGTTCAGGAAACAGAGCGTTGACCAACGTGGCAAGGTCCGCGGGACTGATCACCAGATAAGGATGGACCTCGGCCGTTTCCCGGAGCGAGGTAATTGACCGTGCCGGCAGGAGACGCGGCTTCCTCCGGAACTTTGAGGAATCCTTGAAACGGCCGTAGATGCTTTCAATGTGGCCTTTGACTTTGGGTGGTGTTGACACTGGGGTTTTGCTCTGCAGCAAATCAACCACATATTTCTGAGCGTTCATGGCCACGGTCTTTAGAATCTTTTGCCGGCCATATTCAGTGATATGGTATTCGGCCATCATGCCGTAGGATTCCGGATGGATGACAACACCGAGCAACCAGGTTGTGAATAGGTACTTGGCAACGAGCCACCGGCGGGTGCTCTCGACATATTTCTTGTCCAGGCGCTTCAGAATCTCGTTTCCGAGCTCGATCAGGCCCTCGGGAATGCCGGTGTCGTCCTCGTCATCAATGACCTCAAAAAGCTCGTCAACGGCCCTGGTGTAGAACTCCTCGGCAGCGATCTGATCCTTGGAGGTCCAATCCGAGAGATTAAAGCGGGTCCCATGTTGGTCTTCAGCACGGTCAAGCAAGAAGGCTCCGTCCTCAAGGATTTTCATGAGATACCATTCCATGTTGGACTTGCCAGCCCAGTCACGCATCGAAATCCAAACATTAAGCACCGAAATGATGGTATGTTCACTACCAGTTGTCGGCGTGGAAATCAAGCGGGCGCATGCAGTGGCCCAGGCCACGGTTCTGCGCTTGTCCTCTGCGCTATCAGGGCCTGCGGAATTAGCAAAGCATGTATGGATCAGGGCCGAAATAGGGTCATGACGCTGGAATGAAAGGAGGCGCTCTATAGCACTGCGCTCCTTTCCCTGCAACCCGGCTGCGATGGTACCGCCAAACGCAGAGCCGGACATGCTGCTGGGACCGGAGAAGACAGAGCCGCCTGATGGGGCGCGCCCCGACGGCCGGCTACTGTGGTAAGGGAGAACGGACTCGATGGGCTCTAGCGTTTGATGGAAACTGGTAAGCGCCGCAAGTTCAGACTGGTTCAAAGACGCAATGCGCGTAGCCAAATAGTCTGGGTTAGTCCTGATCTGATTAAGGAAGTTTAGGAAGGTATCCCGGGCTGAAGCAGAGAGCTCGTTCAAAAAGGGAACCCCAGCGGCAGGAGAGGCGCTGGTGTTGGTAGCCGACCCGGTAGGAGTATCCAAACTATCAGTTGAGACCAGGCCAGGTCCCTGTAGCATCTCCATTTCTGGCTCCAACAGGGCATAGCGACGGGTCTCGTCGCAACTTCTCCGAACATCGATGATAGCGTTGTACAGGGCTGCAAAGGTCTTTTTGTCATCTCCACGGAAGCTGTCAACTAGGTTGCGATAGGCCATCTCACCACACCTCATCAGTCGGGCGGAGAGCGCAGTGGACACCAGGCTTCTTTGCAGGCGGATTCTTGTATTTGCGCGCTTGCGCTCCTGGTACTTGCACAGACGCACAAGGTGGGCTAGCTCCTCTAGGGTCGTACCATCATTCTCCGGGCCGCCGAGACACGGGTTTGTGAACAGTGACACATCAGTCAGCAAGGGCCGTAAAAACTTCATTTTTCCATGATTGTCGTCTGGTGAGGACATTGGGATCCCCGTCGTGTCGAGACTGTCGGAGGAATCGTTCGGGGCTGGCGTCGGAGCTGGCGATGGGATGCGGGCCTGATCGATGATGGGCCTGATGGGTACATGCTGGGTTGAAGTACGCCTCGGGAGGTCATCGCTGCGGCGGCCGGAGTTGCTCATTGTATCCTTTGTCGCTCTGTTGGGGCTTCTCGACCGATAGCGTCGCGGGCGCGAGACCTCGGCATGGCTTTCAGCCGAGGAGGGTGTTGGTGACTTGGGAGTTGGAGTGGCGGGAGCTGGCAGAGCTGGGTGAGCGAGCGGACAAGTCAGCACTCACATCCCCTATTGGTTCCAGACTATGGTTCCCTCCCAACATACGCGGCGACGACTGAATGGCGACAGGCGAAGAGAGAGAGCGCTGCATGGATATCATGGGCCCATGAGACGAGGTGAGCTGGCGGTCGCGCTCCGCCATGCGCTCCTAACCAGCTGCCTTAGCCGAGGGAAGGCTTGCCAGACTCGAGGAGTCTATGCGCGTCTCCAGGAGTTGATCGGAATAGATATTCCTTCTCTATCCCGACGTGCAAGGGGTCCCGCGCGAGTGCGGGAATGGAAAGCTTCTGGTCTGGCCGACTCGCGACCACAGTTCTAGGCTTAGGTGTCCCGCGGGGACATCGTACCGTCAAGAAAAAGGAGCGACAGTGTTGAATGCAGTGCCTCGAAGCGTTCGGCGGAAACCCAGCCAGGCCGTGGGGTGTCGTTGTGAGTTGCCGCTGGAGCGTTTGATGCGAGGGGCGAAGAGGAAAGAGCGCGGCGTGTCTTCTGTGAGCTCTTCTGCGTCTTCAAGTTGCCCTGCTGCCGTGTTGATGTATGTAAGGTAAGTACTTACTGTACCTCAGTGCCTTCCAGGTTAGACGGGCGACGTGGGGTAGGGAGACCAGCCACTGGGCTGTTGAGCTAGGCCCGATGGAGACACGCAGCTGCCAGGGTGAGATGTGAGACAAAGCCACAGCCAGGCTGCACCTGCACCATCTCGCTCAACGGCAACCCCTGCACTTGCCCAACAAACAGGTTGAATTATTCACGAAGTGTTTTTCTTTCAACAATGGTGTCATCCAGGTGGCTCTCTGTGGCTGGGTAGCGCAGCACGCAGCACCCCGTATGTTCCCTCGTATGCCTCTTTTGCTGCTGCCAATGAGTCGTATTGGCTCCCTAGTTGTCGACGACTGCTCCTCTTCTACGGAATAGGAATACAAACTTCCTAAAGGCCAACGCGACCTATGCCTGACACGAAGCTCGCGGTCAGCTGCTTGTGCCCACCCTCAGCTCGATTCCCTGGTTTTGTTCAAGAAAGATTTCTCCATCATCTCTGCCATGTCGACCGTTTTCCTTGGCCCGACTGCTTTACCTGAGGTAGACGAGACAATCCTCACCCGTCCTCACCTAGTATGTTTCCGGCCCAAGTTGCTGATGGTCCAGACCATCCCGGCCTTCGATAGGTACTTGTACCTGCCACGCACTCAACCGTGTTGGACTTCGGAAACGGCCTTTCGTGGTGTGTCTGCGCCTAATTACATGGTTCCCCTCAGTCGTGTCTCAATGCTCACCTACAATGTAGGTGCAGTACGAAGTACAGTATTCCGTACAATTCATACATACCTTAACGATATGGCAGACATTCATTCCAAGCTACCCCGTAAGGCACGGAGGTATTCGTACCTTTCCTCTTCTAGGCCAGAGCCTGCTGAGCTGGCCTTGCATCAGAGCCCCACCTCTTCTCTGTCAAGAGGACCCAGTTTTGGCGGCCTGCCTGTTGCAGCCGACCAATCTGCGGTCTCCACGACCCAAAACCACTCGGACGGTCGGACAGAGCCTGCCCGCATCTTCTAAGCCCAGCATTGAGCATCCAGATTCCGGCCTGCCAACTCAGCTGTCCCGGGACCAATCCAGCAAGTGCCGCCACCCTTTCACCTCCTTGCTATTGACGAGAACGAAAACGAGAACCGTTTGCCCTCAGTGCCCCTCACGGAGTACCTTGGGTCCCACATTAATCCATCCGCTTTCAGGGGCGGCCGGCGCCGTTGTCACCCTCCCTCCCCAAATCTCCCAGATATTGATGTTTCGACCGATCCGTCCATGCTCGTCACTTCCGTTACCCATGTCCCAGGCCAAGAGGAAGACCGCTAAATCTCGATGGAAGCTGACGAACGAGTGATCGTGTAACGGGTTAGCGATCTGTCTCCTCCTGAGCTGCCCTATCAGACTGCCACTACATCCCACGGCGTATTCCGGTAGAGGGGGGCAAGTAGAAGACACCGAGTCCCAGATCTACAGTACCTATGGCGTGTTCCCAACCCCATTGGCCTGCGCATCTCGATCCACTTTCGAACGGCGGCGATGGCGGCTACAAAGTGTTTTATGCAGCCGTGACAACCCTAACCAAACATAGGGCGCCCTCAAGAAAGTAGAGAAAACCAAGAAATCCATAAAATCTCTTCCGGGAGAGGACAGCCTCATGCGCCGCACTTACATACACCTGGTTTACACCACGGCTTACACGGCTGCGTGGTCCCAATCACCCGCAACCTCACCTTTGACTGCCCGGCAGCTCTCTCCGAGTCTGTACCACCGCCATATTTTTGTCTCACCCTCGGGATGACACAGAGCTCTCTTTACGGTACTCGACCTGCATGGTCATGTCGACACTTAGCTGTTCGCATGCAGAACTGAGGGAACACGGTGTTTGCCTTTTTGTCCAAGGGCTTATCACATGTAGGGATGTGATGTGCTGTGCCTATACATACGAATGCTCCTCTTGTGCAGGAGTGCCTCGCTGCGGGTGTTCTACATATGGTAGGGTAGGTAGCTACTATACAGTCTACCTTGGTGTGTTCTGCATTCCGTGGAAAAACGCAAAGGGCCCAGTAGGATACCAGAGGTGAGCTGGGTTGGCGGTGTGCACCGCACTACATAAAGTTAGTCGAGGACTCGAGGCACTTGTACTTCACATTCCATACATCTGCGTGTTTGAGCCGGGCCTTCGGCACTTGAACATGGACACAACCTGGAGTATGGGCCTGGATGTGTTTATTATGCCAATACCCTGTATAGCTTGGTGTTCTTCCATCATGTGCCCCATTCCAAGAAGCGTTTTCTGGCATTGTCCTGTACAGCTACCTCGTAGTCAGTCCTGCCCCGCATCTGATTTCAACATGCATAGCCGCCCTCAAACCAAACGTTGATTGTAGCCCAATGAATCCCGCCCAATCGATACCAGATGCTATCCTTGCCGATAGCGAGCATATGCAAGTGATACTCAGATCAAATCTACACGAGAAGGAGCACAAAAGCCGATAAATGGCGGTGACTCGAGGAACGAATAAAGTAAAGAAGCCTCTTTTAGCTCGGCCGCATAGCCGGCCGCATGAGTATGACACAGGGTGCACCCCTACCCTCGTCTTCCCTCCCCTCCTTTCCTTCTTCCTTAGGAATTGTCAGATGTGAAATCCCCAGTCAAAGCGATCAGACAAAAAAGCACATGACCAAACCGGCCTGCGCCGGAATCCGCAAGCACGCTTCCCCGGCGATTTGCACCCCCTTCCTCCATTCACTCACCCCTCCCAAAACGGACGTCAAAATCCTTGAGCACGCTCATGATACTAGCAGCCTCCACTTCGATTGGCGCCCGCCTGGCCCCCAGATAGCCTGCCCGACCCCCTGCTGCAGGAGGCAGGCGCGGGGCAGGCAGGGCCTTGAGCTTCGGCAGCCATGATCCAATGTCATCTGCCGCCTCGTCAAAGTGGCGGTGGCTGGCCAATGTCTTGTAGGCCTCGGCGCAGGGGATGCTGAGGACGGAGCCGGGCGTTGCCGTGCCGTCGGCGACAGCCGCTTTTCCATTCCCGGCAGCGGTATTTGCCGAAGGACCCGAATTGCGGCCACCGGCCGGGTCTAGGTTCTGGCCCGCTTTGCAGCACCCGCCGGGCCCACCGTTGCCGCAACACCCGCCGCCATTGCCTCCAGCGCTGGCGTTCTTTTCAAAGTTAGCGGCTAGCGAGCGGCAGAACAGGCCTGACTTTGGGTCGGCGAGACATTGCTCGCAGGTGCCGGGGCCATTGGGACCGCAGCCGCCGGCTCTTGCAGGAACTGCGTGAGGCGGTGCAGCGCGAGTGCGTTGCAAGTCGCGTAGGCCGGGGAGTTTGATGGCGCCCGTTGCTGTGACTTCGACTGCCAAGGGGACCACGTCGTTCTCCGACGGAGGCGGGGTGTGGGTTTGTGTCTGCTCAGTGATCTGCGGCCCGGCGGATGCCATCATGGCGGCGTCAGCGCACATGCAGTAAGTACCATCCTTGCAAAACCCGCAGGAGTCTCTCGGCTCTAAGTGCAGCAAAGGCTGAAGCTGTGGTGGTTGCGGCGGAGGTAGGAGGGATGAGGCGGGCTCCCTATTGCCCTGCGATGCGAACACGTGTGTAAAATCCGTTTCCATGGCAAGCCCAGCATCTGAGCGCTGCCGCTTCTCCTCCTGGACCGGTGATGAGGGGGAATTCGGGGGTAGCGGCCGTTTTAAATCGGTAGCGGTCACGGACGACCCGAGAGTCTTCTCCAGGCACTCGCACCTTGTGCCCAGGGAGCACTTTCCACAGCTCATGGCCAGATCGGCATACCGGAGGACCTCCTCTGCGCATGCACATGGGCCGTTTGCACGACACCCGCCGCAGACTAGATCCATGGTCTCTGGAGGCTCTTCTGGAGGGGATACGATTTGGGCGATGGAGAATGGTTGAGCCATAGGTCGGGGCTCGGCAATGGTGATCGGGCGTGGCACGGCGTTCTTGGGCGGCGCTGGTTGGATCGGTCTCATACTTTGCGGCATCAGGTTTTCATTGGGTTCCCGTTGTAACGGTGTCTGCAGAGCGCTCTCGCTTCTCTCTGGCGCTGTTGGTTGGGGACTCTCCCAGTTCGCCATCACGCTGCCATGGCCTTGTCGTTCTTTCTCGAGCATACCTTCCAACCACTGGCATCTCGACTGTAGAGTCTGTGTTTCGATCTCCAAATGACTGATCCGTTCCTGCAACTCGCGGACCGTCCGCTCGTGGGCCTCCTTTTCTTCCTCGAGCTGTTCTTCCAGCTCGCCGACACGGGCTGCCCTCCGCTCCCGGAACGCTCTTTGTGCCGCACGATTTTGCGCCTTGCGCTTGGTTGGGGGCGTGTCGGTTGCAGGCTTACGACCGGGTTTCGGTCTAGGTGGTATCACCCATTCTTTGCTCGTCATACTCAGGGATTGGGGCTGCGACATAGAAGTCGGGGAGAAAGCAGACGGCGTAGCCATGTCCTTCACTGCTGCTGAGGAGGCCTTGGTACAAGGGGCCTTCCTGGCTGTGCTGGGTCGGATCGCAATCGGAGGACCCGTTGAGCAGGAAGATGCTGGAGTAGAGATATTCAATGGAGAGGTAGCGGATGTGGGGGTGGACACTGAGCTGCGGGCCTCTTGATTGATGGCCGTGGTTGTAATAGACAGCGTCTCCAACGGCGCTGTATCATTCCTGGACTTCCGGATGACTGTTGCCATGCCGTTCTTGCCGTCTTGTCGACTGCCGTAAGGGAATGACTCCACAGGTCAGATGCAAACCGCTGTGGATGAGGAAGAGATTTCTTTTTCCAATGTCTCAATAGCGTTCTGAGCTACAGGCGAGCCACCTGTGCTCCGAATGTCAAATGTGAGTCCTAAAGAAGCTCTCGAGGCAGGAGCGCCCAAAGCGATGACTAGATGTCACTGCGTGAGACTCTGAATTGACCGAAAGATGAAATGTTGGTTCGGTCAGAGTGATTGCTGCAGCGACCGCATCAAGAGAACGACGTGCCCCGCAGTCTGAGGTATGCTGATAACACCAGGAGACACAGAGTTCCCGTCGTGTGCAAGACACGTCAGTCGCAGAATGAGTAGGGAGCGTTGTTTGATGTTTCGAGCCCGTTTGCCAGACCTGAGAAAAGTAGTCAATGACGAGGGAAGAATGTCGAACGCTGGGTAGGTTGAGAGCGAGTCATGTTCTTCGTTGCTGCAAAAAACGCAAAGAATCCTGCCTGCTCCTTCGCTCCGACCCAGGACCGGGGGCTAGGGCGATTCCGGTAGCGAGGCCGAGTGGTTTGACCACTGAAGTTTGTGATTCGGCGGAGATGCGATGGAGATGGATCAGCCCACTGATTGATTGATAAGATTACATAGAGACACTAGATCAGGATGGGTTTAGCCCCGTTCAGACCACATCCGTCGCTCCCTGCCGTCCCTGATGAAGCCGATGCCCGGAAAAGATGTGCGTGCTTTGAAACTCGGCGGCTCAGCCTGGTTTGCCAATGAAATTGTTTGACTTGTTTATGGCCGTCCCCGCAAGAGTGCGGTAGCGGTCTGATCCGTGGGATGGAATCGTCGAAGGAATTTGCAAGACTGCCAGCGATGTCGGAGAGCAGGATCCAAAATCAACGGTCTGTAGGATATGTACCTTCGTACCGTTAGATGCTATCGATTCGGATATCAACGCGGAATGTAAACAAATACTAGATTTGCCAACCCATTGCAAATCGAGTATCCCTCTGCATCTCCTAGTGAATAACAGAGAACTCAACCTTTCAAGCGATTAAAACACCCGGAAGATCTCCGAGACAAACGTTCTGCCGAGCATTGCCGAGATGGGCACGGGCCACGTAGTGCCAAGCATCACGCATCACGAGCCATGGCCATTTGAGGCTTGGACCGTAAGGTATCTTAGTTAAGCGGTTGCAGTGCAGTGGATGTTTAGGTACTTAGCCATTCAACAACCAAACTCCCAAAAGAAAAATAGTGAGAGCAGCACATATAGGAACCCGTCCACCAAACATAGCAAAACCGCCCATTGATGCTTTGCGGCCTCCACATGGTGCATATTCATAACATAACAGCCTGATCCCCATCACAAATCCAGAATGGCGCACCTCGGCCTCCCATCACTTACCTCCCGCCCTGCATCCTCCTATTCGCATTCCTACTCAAACTTCCACCTATCCTCTCCCTCCCCCTCACCATCAGCTCCAGGCGACGACGGCAGCGACGACGATGCACCCCTCCCCTTCCCAGAGGCGTTATCCCGGCGGGATTTCCTGGCGCCCGATTTTGACGCCGCCACGTACCTGTCCAACCTGCACACGGGAGGGCCCGCATCGCGGCACCAGACGCTCGAGGACCTGCGGGCGGAGCTGCGCGACCGGAGCACGGCCATCAGCGCCGAGCTACTCGAGCTGGTCAATGCAAACTACACGGCCTTTCTGAGCCTCGGGGACGAGCTGAAGGGAGGGGAGGAGCGGGTTGAGGACGTGCGCGTCGCGCTGCTGGGGTTCCGTCGCGCCGTCGAGGAGGTGCAAGCTAAAGTCCGCGAGCGGAGAGCCGAGGTTTCTGGGTTGAATCAGGAGTTGTTGGGTGTGAAGGGTGCGGTGGAGCTGGGGAGGAGGATGCTCGAGCTTGACGAGAGGGTGGCTGGGTTGGAGGCAAGGCTCGCGGTTGGGAGTATCGGGGTTGGGGGAGGGAAGAGAGCTCCCCCGGATGGGGATTCGACTGAGGATGAAGATGAAGATGGGTGGGGTCAGGATCTTGAAGGAAGTGAAGGGGATGATGACGATGAGGAGGAAGAGGGGTTGGAGTTTGTCAACAGTGCACCGACAAAGCTGGCTCGGTTGGCGAGGGATTATGTCGCCGTCGAGGGGATTGCGGATTCGATAGGCCGCGATCTCCCATTCGTGGAGAGGATGGAAGAGAGGATGTCACGGTGTCGAAACACAATATTGCTCGACTTGAGCACATCTCTTAGGGAGGCACGCAAGGCCGGCCCGAAAGGCCAAAGGCACGTTATCCGGCTTCTGGGAGTCTATAGGGTCCTGGATGCCCAAGCCGACGCGGTTAAAGTCCTGAAGGAGAAATGAGACCTTTGACGCCGTTAAAGGTACCGCATCGCGAAATCCAGATACCCAAGCCGTTGACACGCTATGCCCATGGTGATGGTACATATACAATAGACATCTATGATACAAAAAAAAAATAAAAAAATTACATGACAGATTGTAAGTGTTCGGGCTTGAGACTCTCGTCCTTCGGGCTAAAGGTCCCATCCAGGCTGAACCCAGGGCCATGGGTCGTGCTCAGGACTACCTCGTCCAGCGCCTTGGGTTGGGTCTCATCGATATTGCTGATGTCCTCCTTCACCACCGACATCATGGCCTTGATGTTTTCAGAAAGCATCTGGGGCGTGAACCCCAACTGGCCAATCGCCATCCTCACCACACCCTGACGCTCCCTGTACTCGTCCGAACCCATGAGGTCTTGCATGGTAGCCTTGACATCGCTTGTAATGGTCCTGGTCTTCGGGTTAGGCATTAAGCCCTTAGGACCTAGTATCTTTCCCAAGTTTGCCTTTTTCAGAGCGTCTTGGCTGTCGACGTGACATATTAACTTGTTGAATGGGATGTTGCCAGCGCGGATGCTTTCGAACAAGCTCTCTTCTCCCACCGCAACGGCACCGAGTTGCTGCGCCTCAACCGCCATGGGGCTGCCTTCGGGGCAGATGACACCGATTCGGGTGTCGGTCTTGACCGGGAAGGGCAGACGGATCGTATTCCGAATAACCGGTCCACCTTTGTAAGCCCTGAGCTTGATAGCGAGATCATATTTCACAGTGGCAGGCGGGTTTCCAACTTCGAAAGCCCGTAGATAGCTGTTCCAAGAGTTAGCGACGGGAGGGAAAGGCCGTTGCCGAAGGTGGTAAGTGGATGGAACTTGCCGCATAGCATCGCAAAGTGAATACTGCTCCATATCCCTCAAATCATAGCAGCGGTATGTCTTGTACTTCCTCTTCTTCCTAACTGTGCGCTTGCGCATGGCTTGTTGGTTTGACGATGCATGTCGGACTAAGGGAGTGGCAGTCGATGGTACGAGGAATCTCGGTATTGTCGTCGTTAAGATTGGTCTGGCTGGCGATGACAGACCTAGCCTCGCCAACGAAGCAAGGCATTGATGTATTGAAGCCATCGCGTCGTCGCCGCCGTTTAACGCGAGGCTGTACGAGGTCGCGGGCTCAGATCGACGGTCGTCAATTGTATCGTTTAGAAAAATAAGAAGGGCCATCGGATCCACTTTGAAGCTGCCCCTTGCAGCCTCACAAGTTAGGCGACAATGGTGACAGGGGTCCAGCAAGCCTCCCCTAACCCTCAGAGGCTCAGATCCATGATTAACCCTGAGCGCTCACCGCCCGGCAGAATAACAACCCCGCCAGCATTGCTGGTTGCCCCTCCAAAACTTCATGATGCATGATCGCCTGACTCAGAGCAACAAGACCAAATTCAGGCCCAAAATTTGCATCATCCTTGTTTTGACACAAATTCCAAGTCAGATCTCCTAGGCCTCAGAACAACATGAAGCTGGACGAGCTCAAGCCTCTGGAGGCGCTGCTCACGGCGGATTTTCGCCAGATCGAGCCCCGCCTCCAATCTCTCGACAAGCATCTCATCCTCCGCACCTATCTTGACGGTTACACACTCGGTGATATTGACACCAAGATATGGCAAGCGCTCCGCGGCAACCGTGCTGCTGTCTCCTTCATCAAGCGAGGAAGCCTGGTCAACCTCGCGCGTTGGTTCAATTTTATCGAGGAGAACCACCCCGAAATCCAAGCCGAGATCAAGCAAAAAGATGCCGCTGCAAAGGCAAAAATTGCTGCAGCGAGCAAGGCTGGTGGGAGCTACGCGCTGGCACTGCAAAACGCCGACAAGGGCGTCGTGACTCGATTCTTGCCTGAGCCCTCGTAAGTTTGTCCAATGTCAGGTCGCGCTATCCCAGCAAGTCCCAGATATCATCCAGCTTACACAAACATAGAGGTTACCTTCACATTGGACATGCCAAGGCGGCACTCCTTAGCGATTACTTTGCTCACCAAGCGTACAATGGCACGCTGCGTCTGCGCCTCGACGACACCAACCCGTCCAAGGAGAAACAGGAATACCAGGATGCCATCATCGAGGACCTCGCTCTAATGGGTATAAGGCCCGACGCAGTCTCATACACCTCGGATTACTTCGACTACCTCTACGAGATGTGCGTCCGGCTGATCAAGGAGGGGCACGCCTATGCCGATGACACGGACCAGGAGACAATGCGTGACGAGCGCTTCAAGGGCATTGCTTCGAAGCGCAGAGACAGGCCCGTCGAGGAGAATCTGCGAATCTTTGAGGAGATGAAGAATGGGACCGAGGAAGGTCTCCGGAACTGCATCCGCGCCAAAGTGTCGGTCGACAACCCGAACAAGGCCATGAGAGACCCGGTGATCTACCGGTGCAACATCGAGACGCCTCATCACCGTACTGGTACCAAGTGGAAGATGTATCCCATGTACGACTTTGCTTGCCCCGTGGTCGACAGCTATGAGGGTGTCACACATGCGCTTAGATCCACCGAGTACACGGACAGAAATCCTCAGTATCAGTGGTTCTTGGATACCCTGAAACTCCGCCAGGTGTACATGTGGGATTTTGCCCGCATGAACTTCATCCGGACCTTCCTTTCCAAGCGTAAGCTTGCCAAGCTGGTCGACACTGGAAAGGTCTGGGGCTGGGATGATCCGCGCATGCCCACCATTCGTGGCGTGCGCAGGCGGGGAATGACAATTCCCGCCCTGCGTGATTTCATTCTGAAGCAGGGGCCTAGCAGAAACGTGGTCACAATGGACTGGACGAACTTCTGGGCTAGCAACAAGAAGGAGATTGATCCAATTGCGCCGCGGCACACTGCCATTCTGCAAAAGGATGTCGTCAAGGTGACTGTCACCGGTGCTGAGACGCCTGCTGAGCCTTTCAAGGCCGACAGGCCGAAGCACCCGAAGAACAAGGACATTGGCACCAAGCAGGTGGTCTTTGCCTCGGAGCTTCTCTTGGACCAAGCCGATGCGAAGAGCTTCAAGGATGGCGAGGAGATCACCCTCATGGCATGGGGCAATGCCTTTGTTCGGCAGATTGCGAGCGGCGATCCGATCCCCAGCCTGACCTGCGAGTTGAATCTCCAGGGCGACGTCAAGACCACTGAGAAGAAGGTTACATGGCTTGCTGCCAAGGGCCAGACGCTGGTCCCCGCCGAGCTTTGGGACTTTGACTACTTGATCACAAAGGACGTCCTGCAAGAGGAGGACAACATGGAGGATTTCCTGAACCCGGTGACCGAGACGATGGAGGACGCGTGGTGCGACGAGGCTGCTGCCCAGCTGAAGAAGGATGATATTATCCAGCTTGAGAGGCGCGGCTACTACCGGGTAGATAAGGGGCTCGATGACTGGAAGGATGGGGAGGCGGGAGAGAAGGGCAAGCGGCTGGTTCTCTTCTGCATCCCCACGGGCAAGACTGGCCCCAAATAGATATGTTCGGTATCTACCGTAAAAAGTTGTCATAGATAAGTATAAAAACACTCTCCGATGGCCCTTGCCGTTTCCATCCTGCCCGTGAATTGCCCAAAGATCTCACGTTTGGCAGGCATGAGACACCCCCCGATGCTGCCAAAATGGATTGGAAGTGGTTTCCTGGCAATCAGAATCGGCTGTGGATGCTTTGTGTATGGCTTGACGTCATTAAAAGCTTGACGCAAGGCACAATGCCAGTGGAGTGCTGTTTGCATGGCTGCCATATCTGACCTATTAGCTGTACAGCGAACTGCACATCAACTTTAAAGGTGTGGTTCATTGATACACGAGTCATTTATACTGTAGCCAGTTTAGTTTCTCTTCGGATCCAACCATCGGCTACCTTCACACGGAAACTCAGGGCCGAACATCACCAACGTGCCAGCCGCAAAGTCACTGCAGACGTTTGGGCGAGAGGGTGAGCAGGTCATTAACAACGCCAGAACGTGGATACTCGGACCCAAAACGAACTTCCAGGTTGGATATTGAACCGAACAATACGATGCGCTTAGACGGAGAATCCGCCAATTACTATGGCCAGCAACCTGCTCCTCTACCCAACACATATCAGACCCAACCACCACAGCAGAGCGGCGCTTACTATGACAACGGCCCTCGCTATCAGCCTCCACCCTATCCTCCGCAAGCAGATCAGAAACTATCCCTACCCCCTACGTTCGATGAGGTATTCGTAATACAAAAGCCGAAATGGAATGATTTGTGGGCTGGCCTGCTCTTCCTGGCCACCTGTGCCGGCTTCGTGGTGGTTTCTGCCATCTCCATCCAAGGCTACGGTATGTATTGACTATGATCTGACCGGGGAGGAGATGAAGACATCTACTCAAGCATAAAACTAACCTTACGCAACATAGCCGCAACCCGACGAGAAAACTCGGGCGGCCTCAACGGCCAGCTCAACACCTTCGGCCTCACCACCCACACCATCTACCTCTTTCTGTGGGTACTCATCACGGCCATCGTGCTCAGCTACGCCTACATGTGGCTCGCCCGCCGCTTCACCAAGCAGTTCATCTGGATCACGGGCGTGCTCAACCTCATCTTTGGCCTCGCCACGGCCATTTACATGCTCAGCCGGCGCTACTACTCGGGCGGCATCGTGTTTCTGATCTTCGTCATCTTCATGGCTGTCTGCTTCATCAGCTGGCGCTCCCGCATCCCGTTTAGCGTTCTGATGCTGCAGACGGCCATGGACGTCGCCCGACGCCACGGCCACGTCTACGTCGTCAGCGCCGTGGGCGGGGTCCTGGCCGCCGCGTTTGCCGCGTGGTTTGCGGTTACCCTGGTGAGCGTGTACGTCAAGTACGAGTCTTCGGCGACAAATCCGGCCTGTGGCCAGGGTGTGGGGGGCTGTAGCACGGGCAAGGTGGTGGGGTTGATTGCGTTTGTCACCTTTGCTGCGTACTGGATCTCAGAGTGGCTGAAGAATACCATCCACACGACAATCTCGGGGGTGTACGGGTCGTGGTACTTCAGCTCGCGGAATTTCCCTCGCAAGGCCACCGGCAGCGCCCTCAGGCGGTCCCTTACCTACAGCTTTGGGAGTATCAGTTTGGGGAGCTTGATCGTGGCCATCATCAACTTTTTGAGACAGCTGGCATCGGTTGCGCGACAGCAGGCTGCGGCGGAGGGCGACATCTTGAGCAGCATCTTGTGGTGTGTCGCGGGTTGTCTAATCGGCATCCTGGACTGGGCCATCCAGTTCCTCAACCGATACGCCTTTTCGCATATTGCCCTGTACGGGAAGGCGTACATTCCGGCTGCCAAAGACACATGGAAGTGAGTTTGTCTCCGCATGTTGCGTGTGACTTTCACTACCGGGATGCTGACCAGAGATAAAAAGGATGATCAAAGACCGCGGCATCGACGCCCTCATCAACGAGTGCCTCATCGGCCCCGTTCTCGGAATGGGCGCTACGTTCGTCGGCTACGCCTGCGCGCTGCTTGCGTATGTCTACATGGTCTTCACAAGGCCTGCGTACAACGCAAACGGAGAGTTTACGCCTGTGGTTGTGGCCTTTTCGTTTCTCATTGGACTGCAGGTTTGCAACGTCTTCACGACGCCGCTGAGCAGCGGGATCGACACCATTTTTGTTGCGTCAGCATGGGACCCAGAGGTCATGATTCGGGACCACCCTGACTTGTATCATCGTATGGTGCAAGTTTACCCGCATGTGCAGCAGGCCATTCATGCCTGATTTCATGCAGCGATAGAGACTACTACTACAGTACTGTACTACTACTATTCAGCACATTCATGATTTAGGTAGAAGGGGTTGAAAGAAGCAGTAAGAGGAAAGCAATCAGATACCTAGTCTGCTAGTCTAGAACTATCCCTCCATGGCGCAAGCTGGGTAAGGGGAAAGAAAGACAAGTTAGACAAGATATTCGCCGTGCTTAGACATCTTCAATTCCGCGCATCAGTCATTTCCGTCGATGTCTTTTAGCTCCGAAGTCTTCGTACCTCACTCACACTCGAAGAAGATATCAGATGAGAAGTCTGATGCTTCATTATCCTCAGATACGCCGCCTCCTTGTTCAGTATATATTGGCAACTTCAACCCTCTCAAGGCTTCCTCTACGTCCCGCACCAGCTCTTCTGAGTTCTCAAACTTCCCCAGGTAAGATTTTGCCTTCAACACCATGAGCTGCCACAGTGCAGCGCAGGATTGGAAGTCCCTTTCAAGAAGGATACAGATAGCTGCAGTCCACAAGTGTTCATCCAATTGGCTAGGATGGCGAGGCTTGAGATCTGTAAGGGCGCGGCTGATCTCTCCTCCTAGCAACCTTTCTGCCACAACCGCGTCGGAGAAGCGAATGCGACCGTCGTGTGCTTGACATTCAAGTATCGAACAAATGAATGCATTTTCCTTTCTCAGTTCCTCCTTTATCTCGCCAGGATCATCTCGGTCAGCCTGGGTGGGAACAAAGGGAGTCTGAACACTATCGTCTCTCGACACGCCCTCATCCATGCTCATCCGATAACCCTTTTGTTCTGCTGGTTGCGCTGGTAATGTGTGACCGCTGCGATTGCCATAATACCCGTAATGGGACGTACGGCGAAGAAGATTCATGATGCTGCCGCTCCATTCCACTATTGTGCCCATCAAGCTCAACACGCTGTGTCCGAGTCTTACTCTCACACCCGGCCTTTTGTAAGTGTAAAGTGTTTCCAGATAGAGCTTGTTTCCACCCGACCTCACTTTACGTCTCCCCATCAGAGGGTAAAGCTTCGTCCTCATACCATTCATGTCTCGGCGATCACTGACACTGCCAGTGCCAAGGGCTTCGAGGCTTTTAGATCCCAGTCTCCATCCGGTAAGAGTCATAGGAAGAATGCCCTCCTTGTAACTCTTCCTTGACTTCCTCAACCAGTTGAATGATCTTGTCGTGCTGGATGCCGGCGGGACCTCATGGTCATTAGCGCGGTAAGAAATTGCTGGAGGTTCAGGTAGTAAAGGGGAACCAAAGTCGTACAGGTAATCGGTATCGTTTGAAGAACGTATACTCCGGTCGCAGATCGACAGCGAAGACAGGTTACCGTTATCGTAGTGAGGAGTCTGTAACTCGAGCGCTTTGTGGGAGGACAATGATTGTACTCCCGCGACCATGCAAACCGGCAAGGTGGTCTTTAACCCGTGCTGCAGAGTCCAGTGTGGTTTAAGGAGATCATCCTCCCGGCCGGCGTCAACTTTCATGGCCCCTTCAATAGAGGTCTCCTCTGCAGTGTATGGCTTTTGGGAGAGGAAGAAACTCGTCCATTTGGAGACGAGAGACCATTTGCAAGCAATTTCTTCCGCTGCTTTACGTACCATATTAGTTTCCTCCCAGGATCCTGGATACGGCCGGTTGGGACCAAGGTGAATGTGGCTGGTTCCACGCTCAAGGTCATCCAGCATGGATCTTGCTGCTAACTTGTGGAGTGTTGAGTCTTTCTTCTCAAGGATGGAAACAGGTACGACAAATGACTTGATTTGTTGGTCAACCGTGGCTTGGATGACGACATTCTCGATCTTAGAAGGCCCGATCGAGTCGAAAAGAAAGTAAGAGCGACTTCGATCAAAGGGATTCAAGGAGGAGAAATCTGCTGGAGATCGCTTCGAGTCGATCAAGCTAGATCCTACCGGCATGTCAGTGCTAGGTTGGATGTAAATAGGGCTGTGAAGGTGATTACTTCTTGTGCCTCCGTTCTGATCTCGAATTTCAACTTCCAGTCGCAAGGGACCCAGATGCTCGCTCATCAAAGCCGCTTTAGCCATGCTCACTACCCTGTCTTCCCAGCCGCCCTCGGTTGCTCTCTGGACAACCTCAGCATACCCGCCTCCAGCCTTGGCGATACCGTCAACTAGTGCATGAGAGAAACCTTTGCCTATGCCCAACGCAAAGAACCGGACACGGCCCTCTGTCCCAACTCGCGTCTGCTGAATCTATTCAAGTGTCTGGTCTAGACGCCAGATCTCCCCGTCGGTCAAGACAATGATATCGTTCGCTAAAGTCTTATCTCTAGCAGCGACAATGGCCTGTATGGCGGGAAGGAGTTCAGTCCCGCCCATATTGGCTGTAAATTCAGTTGCAACCCAGGCGAGGGCCGAGTTCAGTGTCGTTGAGTTGTACTCGACCGAGCACTGCTGCCAAGACTTGTAGCTGGTCCCGAAGCACCAGATCTTGAATTTCCGGTCTTCAGGTATTCCTTCCAAGAAGAACTGCATGGCTGACTTAAGTGAGGGGATTCTATCAGACATAGAGCCAGATAGATCTGCCAAGAAAAGGATCTCCGTCTTTTGCGTTGGGATGTCGCTCTTGGTCATGAGCTCAGCCGGAAGAGTGAGCATCAAGGCCTTGTGGTTTTGCAGGGTCGGGTGCTCCTCTAACCAGGCCTGAGGCACTTCGGCTCCGCCGCTGGGAGTCGTCACGATATCAAGCACAAAGTCCTTGTCAAGGAGCAAGGAGCCCGAATCTAACTTCACGGATGCGGTCTCAACGTTACTCCCGTCGCCCCCACCAGCGAGGTCGGCGAAGGTATCGGCATTGCGTGTTCCTTGCCGTCGCTCAACGACAATGTGGTGAGAAGGGCTTTCGATATAGCTGATTTTATTCGACTCGATGATTTCAACTTCAACAGTCAGGCCCTGGGATACGTCGGGTGTTGCCGCTTCGTCGTACTCCTTTGGGGGATCCCCGTATCTGGGAGCAATGGAAGGAGGTATGGTCAGGGTAGTAACACCCTTGCTGTTGGCAAAATGGTGCTTGAGAAGGGTGATGTATGTCAGATGGGCCGTGACTTTGGTACTAGCGGGTATGTTGCCGAGCGTCGTGGTGAAGATCTCGGGTGTGCCCTGTTCGAGCAGGGCCGCAGTCGTGTCATGGTTATGGATGTGGTGCCGAAATGCTTCGCGGGCATCTCCCTTCGGTTTGACGCTGGCAGTAATTACGCTGCTAGTCCCAATTCTGCAGCTGAAATCGGTGACAGTGCATCCAGCGGGGAGCGGGAAGTTGAACGAGGCTTCCTTGATCGGGGAGGTGGAATCGTTGCAGAATACCTGTGTAACGCCTACTTTGGCCGTGTCTTGCACAACGGAAATGTCCACGGTGACCGAGGAGAGGAGGAAGCACATGGCGACCATACTGCTGCTGAACGAACTTGGGGAGATTCGTTCGTGTCAACATTGCTGATGCACGAGCTGATGGCGAAGAAAAGGGGAGACTAGTAGGGCTGAAGTACGGGTCCGGCAAGCGAGCGTCAGACATGACGAAAGATTCGAAATCAACAACGGCCGGCACACTTACCGGACATAGTAGCTGGTTGAGGGGACAGGAGCTCCGTAGCGGCTGCCCTGAGCTTCTTCCAGCTCGGGTGGCAGGGCTCCCGGGGGTCCCACACAATACCAGCCGAAAAAAGTTGATTGGCGCGATGTGCCGTGTCTGAATGTATTCCAGGTTGGAGCGGTTGCTCAAAAACCTAGAAAAGCAGGTAAGCAGGGTAGCCAACGCTTTGGGACCACTGGTATCGAAAGGATTTGGTCGTTTGGGAACGGGGAAAGGTAGAGCGAGAGGACTCGGCCGGTCATTTGTTTGTATAATGGCGACTGTCGAGTACCTCAAACCCGAGACATGGCTCTGAAAATTCATTTAAACGGACGTGGAAGGGGCTGTCCGAGTCGCGAGCCAATTAAGAAGGCATGCCATTAAGAAAGTACCTAGAGTCGTGAAAAGTCGGCAAAACTATAGAGAGGCGGTGCTAGGCACAGCCTGCCCAGCCTGCACCGGCTGCACATGGCGTTGATTGTGGCTTGCAATCAAGACATATTACGGGATGAACACCTTTGTACTGCCGAATCCTAACATCTGACCAGACCTCTTCATCCCAGGCACATCCTGCAGAGGCTATCATTACCAGGTACTTTTGAGTACTACAGGTGTTCACTCGCTCTTTGACCCAGGGCTACAAAGGGAACGGGCCCAGTCAACACTAGCATCATGGCTACTCCAGTGTCATTTGGCGATGTTGTCGCCATGTCAAAGCTCGCTTGGAGAATCGGACATGCCTTCACCCAGGGACGTAGCTCTGCTTTCGCGAGGTCGAAAACCAGCTATGCTCGCTCAGTGCTGCATTGACAGCCTTCAAAGACGCCTGTGGCAGTGATATAGCCGCCATGACAATCGACCCGGCCAGTCTGCCCTCGAGATTCCAGAGTCAGATGCAAAACGAGCCTACAACAATCTCAAAAATTCTTGAGAACTGCTTCCAAACCTTGAAGCATCTGGAAGAGATTGTTGACAAGTACGAATCCGTTGATGAACAGCCGGATCCATCCAAGCCGAGACTCAAGCGCTGGAGCACTGGCTTCATTAAGAACTACAAGAAGATTGCCTGGACTACAGAGGCGGGAGACCTTGGGACACTGCGCAGCCAGTTGATGATTCACACAAACAGCTTGCACTTGGTCCTGGGGGTCATTGTGAGGTGAGTTGGCACACAATTGCAAAGGACGATGTACGCTCTAACATCATTGTAGTTCCCGAACATCCAGAATTGAGGACAGCCTGAAAGGACATTCAGATATGCTCAGGGAGATCCATTCCTGGTGGGCCCAAAACCTCAAGGATGTCGCCGCTGCTCCTAGAAGCAAACCAATAGAGACGAACCAACCTGGTAATAGCGAGATGTCAACAGTCCTTGAGCCTAACCCTATTGTATTCGCTGTCTACATGCTTATAGATGGGGTTGGGCAACTTCTATGTGACAGGGCTTGTCTCCATGAAGCTTGGAAGGCGACAGAGTCTACACAGCTGTTTCTTTGCAGGTGCAGAGAAGTGGAAACATTGAGACGTGCTCCCGAACACCCAAAGGTGGAGAGTATTGCATGTAAGCGCTTCTTACCAGCCGTTGAACCCGTTAAAGCGGCTAACAAGTACCGAACCTGTCCAGTATCGCCCCTGTGTTTCCCCTTTCGGCAGGCGGGCGACGAAATGTCTTGGATCCTTTTCAAAGCCATGGACAGGTCTAGCAACCGCCTTGTTTCTGTCATCATCAAGGGTGTCGCGGCTGACGGTAAGCAAGAACTTGACCCCATCGAATTCCAGGGGATCTAACTGCTCTCAGCCGTGCTTGAGTTTCAGAATTCATTTGTCTGGACACTTGCAAAAGCGAGGGCAGCAGCTATGCTCCAGGGTGGCATGAGCAACATGCTTACTCACCTCTCACTTATCAGCCAAAGTATCCGTCTCCTGAGTCTGCAAAGGTGGGTTCTGGGACGATTGAGGTGTTACCAAAGTCCTAATCTACCATAATACCACTGACCGTGTCAAACACAACTCTCTGATCTAGTGATCTGAAGAATCTCAACAGACTTATCGATCAAGTCACTTTCCGAGTCGGTCACAGAGCCCTGTCTAAGAACAGTGTTGAAGGACTCAGTCTTTTGAACTACCGCGAGCTGTCCCACTACAACAATTGCTACCTTGAGTCCAGCGTGGATCACGCCGAATTTTCCATCCACTACAACCAAGCAACGGGGCAAACAACGGACCTCACCAAGACAGTAATACTAAGTATGTAATGCACCCAGTAGTATCCCCCGGCCATAAGGCACAAACCCAGCAACATGAAGCGAGTGACACCTTTGATAGTAAAGAGCAGTACCGCACTCAGCATTACGGAGAATGACGCTTGTGTAACTGTCAAAGGCGTTGAATGCCTCGGCTTTTCTCAAGACCAACAAACAAGCCGACTCGACAGATCAGACGTCACCTTGCAGATGACATCCCTCGAAGGTCAGGTGCCATGGGCTCAACAAAAGGGTCCGGTAGAGCTAACTGCAAGGCAGCCGCCAAGAAGCTCTACCAACGGCTCGAGGATATGCGGAAGGAGCTCCTTGTCCTAGGCCTACAATCTCCGCGAGCAAATGAGACTATTGTGTTGCATTTGTGAGCTTCATGGTCCCTCCTCTTGCTCAATCCAGTCGCAAATTAACCTATACTCCTTCCTTAGACAATCAACAGAGGTCCAAAGCGAGGTTGTAGTAATCCCAGACGCAGAGTTGTGGATCACCCGCAACCCGCAAGACCAACATCGCCTCATCGCTGTGAGCCGGAACAGGTGCACAGTGCTAGCCCAGAACCGTAAGCATCTCCTCTCCTATCAGCATCCTACCTTAGTATACTAATGTGTTTGCCACCCTAGTCGCTCCTGGCTTCTTCATCCCCGACGAAGCGCGAACCCCGGATTTCGCGTCTCCCGCGTGGCTAGTTCAGGTCGAAGGGAAAGGTCACCGCCGGGTGACCTACCGTCCCAAGGGCTTCAAGTTCCTGAACTTTGGCGACAAGGACGGGGAGGTGCTTTCATCCTACATGCGAGCCAGGGCCTCGATAGATGTGGAGATGGTAGAATGAAGAGCGATGCTTGGTGGCAGTCCTGCGTACGAGTCGCACTACCATTTGGGGCCGCGGCAGGACTATCATACCACCTGAATCAGTTCTTAGAGTCGTATTCTGACAATGATTGGTGCCCAAAGTTGTTCAACCCAGACTGGTCCAGGCCTCCAGTGCCCTAGCCCCTGAAAAATCAGAGCTGTGAATCCATGCTGGCCATGAACAGTTCCTCCAACCCAAATGGTGAAAAGTCCATGGGGCCGGCTGAGTATATATTTGGGCCGGTCACAGGGAATTGGTGTGAGAAACCGCCCAGATCCGGCACAAAAGTTGCCCAACCATGCGTGGGCCCCCCAGGTGCATCTAGCAACGCCTCGGCCCCGGACGACGATAATGCACCAACTGGCTGCGCCAGCACGCCTGGCTCTGTAGAGACTCGGGGCACGGCCGAAGTACTCGTACTCAAGTCGTTTAGACCCTCAGCAGCCTGCCTTTCCCGCAGGAACTGCTGTTGCTGGTCCCGCTGCCTATCCGACCCATCACCAACCTCATTCCCATTCCCATTCCCACCCCCGTTTGCCCCAGCCGGCCGAGCCATGAGATTCAACAACCCCGTCTCCAGCCGATCCAGCTTTCCCTTAAGATTCTCCATGCCGCCCCAAAAGTCTATAAACCGACCGATGGCAAGCTTGAGAAGATCCAAATTAGACCCAGCAAGACGCCGGTAATGACCGTATGTGGAACCTGAATCGAGCGCGGGCGGGCCAAACACGCGGCAGGCGCATTGCGCGGCGGCCGCGAACCACAGCGTGTTGACCAGGAACGGGTTGACGTACCGGTGGTGGTCGGCTGAGCTGTTGCGGACTGCAGTCACGACCTCGTCGGCGGCTTTCATGTAATTGGACCACTCCGACTCGGCCTGGCGCGTGGTGCTGTCGTTGTCGTTTATATTGGATGTGGTGGGGCTTGGGGTGGTGGTGTTGTTCTTTGCATGGGCCAGCCAGGGCGCACGCGCGCAGATCTTGTGGTTGTAGATCATGAAGCGGCAGAGCTGGGTCATGAGGTGGATCGAGTACTTGTCGGCATGCTCTTGGCGGGGGTTGGTGGCGTCCTGCGGAGAGGCTGGTGGTCGGAAATCGAGGCTCTCGCCGTGGTAGGTTAAGTGAGCGGGAAGCGAGGTGATGGTGCAGTACAGACAGTTGGCCATGATGCTGAGCTCTGTCTCGGTGCCCTTACCGCCGAGCGACTGCATTGCCAGACCGGCAGGGTAGACGATGCGCTGTGTGTTCCGCATCAACGAGTTCACGACTATGAACCAGGCCTTCGCGCTCTGGTTCCCTGAGCGGGCTAAGTGTTTCCACCGGAGATTGCAGTCTTCGGCCAGGAAGCAGCTCTCCTGGTATATGTCGTTAAACCAGCAGCTGTCGGGGACCGGAAGCATGGTCAGATTCATGCTTGGGTCGATTGCTGTCGGCAGCCGTCGAATGGTGCTTGCAAAGATGTCCATTTCCCAGACGGCCCACCAGGCTCTTCGCCGCTCTTCAAGCAAAGCCCACCGCTGCACGTTTACCGGAGCTTTGTCCGTGGCCCTGGACGGATCGCGGTTCGCATCGACCAAATGCAGGTTCATGTCGTACGAGTACCGGATGCAGTCTCCGAGCTTCTTCCACGACCGTGACCGAACGCTCAGCGTCAGCTGATAGAAGGTGACTAGGATGCTGGCCTGCAAAAGCCAAAAAGGGGGCCGCATGTCGCCATAGCGTTCGATGGATTCGTCCAGCTGCGATGATGCGATGTGCGCGAAGTATGACGGGCTGGGACAACCGCTGGGATCACGACAATGCCGGGCGGAGAAAGAGAACATGGCGGCCACAAGTGCCTCGGCGTCGGAGTGGTGCTGCATCATGGCAAATTTTGGCTCGATGCTGCCTGGCCGGAAGAGGGAGAAGGCGGTCATGTTGGCAAAATAGAACCCCATCCTGAGCAAACGTCAGTACTTGAACGTCATACAAGTACCGACTGAAACCAGACGAGCTAAGGTGAACACTTACAACATATCATACATAGATTCGGATATCTTCAGCGCTTCACAGACACTTGGGACCGTTATTCTAACGGCACCGTCTTGATGCCCAGGCGGCGTGTCGATTGTGGACGGGGACTGTGGCCGTGTCTGTGCTTCATGGGAGGGATACATTATTCTTGAAAATATCGGGGCGTCGGTCCTATGGTTAGCACTTGGCAAGTCGCTGGGCGAGGGCGTCGGGGCCGGTCCCCGTTCGGGGGTGGTAATGTTGGGGCTAGAAAGTGCAGCATGTCGTGTCGAGTTGTAGCTCAGGCTGGGCTCAGGAGGGCTAACATCAAGTTGAAGAAGCCTCCTACGTTTGGCACCTTGCCGCCGAGAGCCTAAGCAGTATCTATGTCAGTATCAAATTTGAATTTTGACAATCTTAAAGTGACGTCGTGTGACCCGAACTCACCAGGTTTTGGGCCAGGCTTTTCTGGGTGAGTTGGATAATTGCACACTGCTTCGAACCTGCGGCACGGGGAACAGGAGGGGAGGTTTCGGTCACTGTGAGTGTGGCCGTTCAGTCTTAGCCAGAACAACGGCAGGACTCACGGCTTGTGGTGAATAGTGATTGGATTCAAGTTACCATTTTACTTTGCGCCTGTGGAAGCTGCGTTAGCCAACAAATCAGGACATAGTTACGGTAACGGTATGCCCAGTTATGATAAATTGATAACTGCACGGCTTCACTCACTTCTTGCAACCATAGCAGGCCCAAAGGGCCGAGGATGCCGCCGACGACATGGGCGCGTCGGACGGTATGCCCGACACGACCGGTGTCGTTGCCGGTTCGGCCATACCGGGTGGAGTCCAACTTGCCGGGACCGCACCGGCACATCTATTAAAGCCCGTCGGACCCGGCAGGAGGGTGGATTTCGGAGGTGGACATCGGTGGTGAAATAGCCCGGTGACGCGTGTCAATCGAGCCGGACCGCCCACAATAAAAATCCAGCCGAAGCATCTTTCATGGTTCTCCACTTGGCTCTCAGCCAGATTAGTGAATTTAACCGATTGAAGTGGAGCCGCCAACATTCACACCTTCACTGCACGTCACGTCACTTTCCACAAATTTCATTTTTAGAACATTGGGACCCGACATCGGGAGCCTCAACGCTGACCAAGACGGCGCTACAGAGGCAGTGATACCTATCTTACCATCACTCAAACAAGATCTTATTCCGTATCGCACCAATCCCATCAATGGCAACCTCAACAACATCACCATCCTTCAGAAAGCCCTTAGGCTCCATGAACAGCCCGACACCGCTCGGCGTTCCCGTCTGAATGATCGTTCCCTTGCGCAACGTCGTGCCGCGGCTCAAATGCGCAATGATCTTGGCGACGGAGAAGATCATATCCGACGTCTCTGTCTCTTGCCGGATCTGACCATTGACCTTGGTAACCAGGTGCAGCTTCTGCGGATCCGGGATCAGGCTGGCCGACACGATGCACGGGCCGATGGGCGCGAAGCCGTCAAACGACTTTGCGTAGCAGAACTGACCCCCGGAAGTATCCGGCAGCTGGAAGTTCCTGGCCGACACGTCGTTGCCGACCGTGTAACCCAGCACGTACTGCAGCGCCTCGGCCTCGGACACGTTCTTTGCGTCCTTGCCCATCACGACCGTCAGTTCCCCTTCGTAGTCGAGCATGCCCTGAGCGTCCGGATGGACCGAGACGGGATCGAGGGGTCCGGTCAGCGCATCTGCTGGCTTGGTGAAGACTACCGGGTATGGCGGAACCCGGAGCTGCGGACCTGTCAGTTATTTTCCTGAACTCTGCGCTCTTGGATCTGACCTGGGATATTGCTAGGGGCGGGAAGGCCATACATTTGCCTCGGTGGCATGTCTCTGGTAGTTAAGCCCGATGCAGATGACGATGGGAACTCTGGGCAGAGGGCACAGCAGCTGTATCATCTGGTTAGATTCAGGTCATTCATGAAGGCGACTCTTAACGCAGGTCGGTACTCACCTTCTCGATCTTGTCTGTCCTGCCGGTTCTTCGGAGGCCATTCTCAACATCACCCTCGAGGACCTCGACTTCCGCGCCAGTCAAGTCGCCCACTGGCTCACCCTTGAGATCGCCGTAGCTGGTAACGCCCTGGGCATTGACAAATCGCACGAGACGCCGGAAAGCCATGGCTGCTCGGGTATACTGTGTTTGGGCCGTGTCACGGTCAGACCTGTCAGGTTGTAAGCCGGGGTGAAAACCACGAAGACGATGGCTGGTGCAGTCAACAGCTTCTCGGTATTCCAAGTAACTTATATGATAAGCTCTACTCCTCTGCACCGGACGTGGAGATGTCCGGGCTTAGTGTAACCCGGGGCGATTGAAGTCCACCCCGCCTTCGGGCTAATTGCAGCCTTCTTGCGGACTTGCGGTCTAACTCATAGCGTCGGACTAATTCCCCGCAGGACTTGGTTCTACCTCGAGGACCAATATGTCCTTACGAACAAGTCAGGTAATAGGAGGTCCTCTCTTAGCTTAGGCAGTCTATTGGCAACCTGATCGGTTGTTTGAACCTAACCAGAAACTCTCCGTGGTCGGTGTCACATACCCCTGACATCTACTACACAATTCTGATAGTCTTCTTCTCCGCCTCAGCAAAGAATTGCGGAAGTGCCCGCCAACCCCCCTTATCCCTTAGCCTCAGCACCCCCGCGAGAATAAAGGAGCCACGCCGAGCACAAGATCCACCTGAGATCTCCTCGACAACGAGACCCCTGATTCCTCCATCCGTCGCCAGCCCGACAAGCCAGACATGCTGATCTTTTCCATCAGCGATGTATGACTGGATAATCTCTCTGTCGTCCGACGTGTCCGGCATCATCTCCAAGACCCAATCTTTGCCCTCCTGAAGCTCCGCCTGCCACAAGGGAGTTCTCCAAATGTCACTAGGATTGAACTCAATGTCTTCCGACCACGCGGCATCGCTACATATTACTTGGATCCTCGGCGTCGCCCGCACTTCCCGCATAGATCTGGTCGAAGCCGTGAGGGTGAGGTAACCACCCGTGAGGGCGCCAAACGGGGCAGCTGGCTCAGCAAGGTCAACTGCCCACGAGTCGACCACAGCAAATAGCATGTCTTCGAGTTTCTTCGCATCCAGGCCGTACATACCCGACAATGCATTCATGAGGACGGGCCCGTCGACGCTCGCCCAGGACCACGTTGGGGCACGGTAGGGCGTCGGTCGGCGGGGGAGGCGGAATGTGGCCGGATACCAGAGAAGCTGATGTAGCCACTGCAGCCTGACTGAAGTGTTTACTAGCAACCCAGCCGCGTAGCAGACCGGCTCATTGCGCCGACGACCCACTGATACCATGTGGGCCGCGATGGACGAGATAGCGAGGAGCTTGTCGCTGCCTCGGCCCAGCGTGCGGGTCGTATACTCTTCCACGATGATCTGCCACTGGTTCACAGTCGGGCGCTCGACCAGGCAGCCGACGGGGTAGATGCCTTCGACGAGGGTATGCACTCCACCGGGAACCATACGGTCAACCAGGGAATGCTCGTCGTTGTGACTGCCAGTGCAAGCCCCAAACGAGTTGACACACGACCAGAGCAACTGCCGGCCGGCAAAGATGATGATTCGCCGCGACAGCAGCGATTCCTGCATCGTCCACCCACGCATCGTCGTAGGTTCGGGCGGCGGCTCGGACTCGATGACAAGGTAGGCCGAGCCAAGATCCTCAAGGTTATCGTGCGATCGCAGTTGAATGCGGATCGGACCAAACTTGAAACCTGGGGCTGAGCTGTGTTGTGAAACCAGAAAGCCGTCCATACAAGTGCGAGCTGAGGCGGCGCAGAGGGTCACCGTCGCCCTGCCGTAGTAGCTTGACATGCGGGTAATCTCGATGGCCTTGTCATAGTTGTTGCCCTGGCCGTCGTCGTCGTCTTGGAGGATGCAGAGAGCGTCAACCCACAGGTACCGGAAGCCTGTGGCCCGGGCGACCCAGATGGCGTCTTGCAGCGTCTGCGGGAGGGTGGACACGTCGATGCGCTCCAGCAGGCTCTCATGGTTTCGCCGTAGGAGTTTGACTGGCTGATCAGCACCCCAGCAGTAGGATAGTGCCATGAAGCCCCCGGCTGAGATATCCTCTACGACGTCCGCGTGGTTGTTTGTTTCGACCAAGCGGATGATAGAAGTATCCCCCTCACCCACGTCAAGAAGACGCTTCGGGATATCTTTTCGATCCACCCTCTCCGGCGGTAGCGTAGTCTCTGGATAGCGTGGGACGTATAGAAGATCTATCTGATCAGTCCGGCAATAGCTGTGGCGGTCCATGCAAAGGCGGATGCACTGCTTTGCAAACGAGGCCGACTGTGCGGATAGAAACTCGTGCATATAGGGACGGGCGGAGATGTACTTGGCGGCGGGATCGGCCCCCGTGGTCCAGACGGGGATACTGCCGATGAGCCCCTGTTTGTCCTTGAGTGTATACACCTTGCATATCAGAACGCAATGTTGGCTGGGAGACGACGGGGACCAGGACCCTTCCATTAGAAACCGGACCTGGTCGAGGTCCTCGATTTCATCTTTGATGACAAAGTTGTCATTGGCTCTGCGTTCAGTGAAGAGCAGAGAAATGCGTTGGAGCAGCCAGCGATAGAGTTCGCATTCTGCTAAGAATGCCTCGACGACGTTGCCGAGGCTCTCGGTCCAACTCGCATTGTAATCTACCTCTTTGTCATTGTCAACCCCCCCCTCAACACCGGCTGCGTGGAGAACAACGATGGAGCAGTGTTGGCAAGTGTGAGGACTCTGAAATGAATATGGTGAGGCGGTTGGAGTTGTATAGTATGCTGCCTCTTGTGCCACTCGTTGCTGCAAAACAACACGTTTAATCTTCTCGATGTCCATGGTGCCCTGAATTTGGTGTACACGATCGGGAAGGTCTGTTGATGCCTGGCGTCACCGGCAACCCAACGCCATTTATCGGAACTCGGGGAGGCTGAAACATCAGCCAGCAGAATCCCATTGTTACACAAGACATCAGGAATAAAGCTTAAAGGACGAGTCGATAACACTGTTGGGTTGTTGTTGGGCGGATGATTGGGCAGGCAAGCGAGGAACCCGACATGAAGATCGAGAGGGGCGGATCGAGAGGAGCGGGTGTGTGGGGCAGTGGAGCGTTGCAGGTTATAGCCCCACATATAAGTTTGGGGGCCAAGGCATAGCCACCAAAAAGTTCAAGTGTACGGACGTGACGGAGTAGAACGGTCAACATCATCGCCTTTGTCTGTCAGGGAGCTTCGGTGTCTCGCACGCGCATTTGGAGAAAATGCCCTAGATCACAGTGCTGCCGGCGCAGCTTTCTTGTCAATTCCAAAGATTACAGGTAGGACGGAGAACAATGCTTGCACCCTGACCCCGACATTACACTACATCGGGCCGTTCCTTTCCCCGCATCTCGGGACAATCTCAGATCCTGCTCGACCCAAAATCGCGGGTTAGTTCGCGAATTTGGAGAAGTGTGGGGCGTGGATTTGGAATCCCTGACCTGTTGGTGAAAAGTTGGCGACCGTAGGGAGCGGAGGTACCTCACCAACATCAGAGCGATTCCGATGCCGGCAACATGGGACATCTCAAACCTCACCAACACACTACCGGATCAAAGCATCATGGACGGTAATTCATGATTGACTCAATTTGGCTGTGCCTACTCGACTCAGGAGAGTCGCCTGGGATTGTAACTTCCAGGGAGGCAGCCCTCGCTCCATCATGCCTTGTCAATGCACAAGATGCTCCGCATCACGGTTGCCAGCTTTGCCCTCGGGTTCTCAACCATTGAGTTTGACCGCCAGGCGACGAACCGGTCAGGCCGAGCCAGCACACATCCATCCTCTTCAACTTCTCTCCGCTTCGCCCAGTCAAAGTACACGTCTTCAAAGTCTTCTTTCCACCCTATCGAGAAACTCTTGATCGGAACCCCCAGTTCCTGGGCCACCTGGTCTGCAGCCTCTTTCCATGCTTGCCCACCAGGGCCCGTGAGGAGACAAAAGCTTCCATGCCCTGCGAGGTCGATGGTCGACACCGGCTTCCCCGGCACCCGGGAGTTTAGCCACGCGTGCGGGAGTCGCATCCCCGGATACGTGGTAATGAGGTGTTGACGGACAGCGTCCTCGGGGAGCTGCGGCGCCTCGGGCTCGTCGGCGAGGTAGACGGCATTCGAGCGGTACTGCTGGTTCATCTCAACGCCCAGACCGTGAAACTCGGGGCCCGTGTTCTCGATGCCTTGGTGGAACTCCCGCCTTCTCCTCCGACCGACCTGGCCCTTGTCTTCAAACTCGGCAAGGATCGCTTTCCGTTTCTCCAGGTCGGGCTCCGTCATGCCAATCGCCGCCATCCACGGAAGATGGTCGCGAAGCCCTTGGTTAGCCCGCGTGATGATCTCGACACCAACCGGCTGACGCTCGATGCTGTAGGTGTCGAGAATCTTGGGGCCCGCGCGTCCAGACATGACGTATGCGATCTTCCATGCCAGGTTGAAAGCGTCTTGTATGCATGTGTTGGATCCCAGGCCGTTAAACGGCGGGTGGCGGTGTACCGCGTCGCCAAGGCAGAAGACATTTCCATCCGAGTAGTACTCGGCGACCGTCTCATTGATCCACCACTTGCTGGCATCCAAGATCTCAACATCAACCGAATCGTCCCCAATAATCTCCTTGGCCCTGGCCAGATATTCTTCCTTGGAGGCTATCATGTCATCGGCTTTGACATCAGCCCCAGGAGGAGGCAGGAAAATGAACATCCACTCGTCCCACGGCCGCACCATACGCACGAGACACGCCCAGCCCCACGCAGGATGTCCTCTGTCAGGTTGGAAGACCCAGTGTAGATTTCCGGTCCGGTTCGTCACAAGGTGAGACATATCCGCCTTCACCAGTACATTGAGCGCCAGCCCCTGGCCTGGCTTTTTGATCAGGGGAATTCCTAGTTGGCGAATCACCTGGCTGCGCGCCCCGTCGCAGCCAAAGAGGAACCGAGACTGGATCCTGTACGTCTTGTTGCACAAATCGTCCCGAACATCGCTTATGATGACGTCCGGAGAGGGGCGGGTAAAGGCGAGAAAGGTGGTGTTGAAGCGCAAGGTCCACCCCTTATGGACAGCCCTTCGAGTGAGAATTGGCTCGAGTTCGGTCTGCGGCAAATCGACGTGGTTACATGGGCTTGCCGCGTCGTAGTCACCCTGCTCCAAGTTAGAGCTAAGCAATGCCGGAACCTCAGCGGGTAAAGGGGGTAACTTGCCTTGCGTTTGGGATCGTTGCCCCACGAATAGACGCGTGCATACTCTTCGCCCGCCATGGAATGACACCATCTGGTATGGGTCATGTTGTCGCCCGAGGCTGCAGTCTCAATGCATTGCCTTTCCAGGTCAATGTCCCTCAAACACTCCAGTGCAGCCATGTTTGTGATGTGGGCTCGGGGAGTCTCAGCACATCCTGGCGCGGCTGATATCATGATGCCTTTGCGTCCTTTGGAAGTGTCAGTGTCAACTTACTCCTGGTTATAACACAGCACAGTTCAGTGCTACTTCAGAGGCATACCATAAGACGCGAGGAAGCAAGCCAGAGCCGCGCCGGCGGGCCCAGCGCCAACAATGAGGAAATCCGTCTTGACAACATCGTCAGCCATTCTGGCTTGGAAGCGTGAGACCTGGAGCTCGGATCTATGCTGTGGTGGAGCAAGCGGCCACTGTCGACAATGGCTGGAGATGCGTTATCTTTTGAGACGGCCATTGTTCACCCCGTGGTCGGCCCGCTGACAAGCAACGTCGCATGAGGTCAGCCATGACAAATGATGAGAAGTGCCGTACCGTTGCTCCGTAGTGGACCCCTGGATCTTGTCAATGCGGAGAACCTGTTGATCAGGGGTCACCTCCAAGCCAGGTAACAAGCCACCGATAAATAATTCCCGGTGTGGCGAGCTACAACGGAAAATCGACCGAGATGCGGGGAAGAGTCCTTCCGCTCGGTAGGATACGCGGCTCGGCCGAAGTAAAATTCGCCCCGAAGCAGGTGTGTGTAAATGAGATATTGGAGTGTGTCATGGTATCCTCTCACCTTAACGAATGATCAGCTTTTCCACAATATACTGTTGAGTTATATATTAATACCTCAGCCGGTCGCCGTCCGCAAGTCTACCTCACCCATTTCCTGTCATATCATCGGGAGCATTCTTCTTGTAGCACACTGAACAGTTACCTTACCTTAGTACCTACCACAACATAGGGACTAAAGTCAACAACATGGCTGCTCAAGAGCAACACCCCAAGATCAAGCTCGTACGCATTGCTCACGTGTACTACACTCATGTCGACCTCGACCAGGCACGTCAGTTCCTCCTCGACTTCGGCTTCACGGTGGCCGAGGACCGCGGCGACAACATCTTCTTCAAGGGTTATGGCACGGAACCTTTCGTGTACTGCGCCACCAAAGGCCCGGCCAATGAATTCGGCGGTGCGGGCTTCGTCGTCGAGTCCATGGCCGACCTGGAGCTAGCTTCCAAGACTCTCCCCAAGGCGACTGCCATCGAGGACCTCAACGCGCCCGGTGGCGGCAAGCGAGTCACATTCAGAGATCCCGTCGACGACTACCCCTTCCATCTAGTCTACGGCCAGACCCCGGTCGAGAAATCGGCCCATCTGCCCGAGCTCGAGTACAACTATCCCGAGACCAAGCATCGCGCCGTCAACAGGACGCAGAGGTTCAAGAAGGGGCCCGCACCCGTCCACAAGCTGGGCCACTTCGGGTGCTGCATCACCGACTTTGCCAAGGCTTTTGAGTTCTACACCACGCGCTTCAACCTCAAGCCGAGCGACGTGATTCATGACGCCAGCGGCAAGGACTTCACGACATTCCTCCATCTGGACAGGGGGATGGAACAGGTGGACCATCACACGTTCTTCTTCTTTGAAGGTAAGTGAGCCGAGACCACCGCTAAATGGGTTTTTGCTCACACATGGTGACAATCAGGACCCAAGTATCATGTCCACCACTCAAGTTTCGAGGTGCATGATTTTGATATCCAGTCGCTGGGCCATCAGTGGCTGCGTGACAAAGGCTACGACCTCGTCTGGGGTGTTGGAAGACATGTTCTCGGGTCGCAGATTTTTGACTACTGGTATGACAAAACTGATCACATGCGCTGGACAGCATGACGTCGTGCTAACCCGGTGTAGGTATGATCGCTCAGGTTTTGTCCTGGAGCACTATGGTACGTTAGCTCCTATGCATACCAGTTACTTAGTAACTTCACAAATACAGACCGCACTAACAGGAACTTAGTTGATGGCGATCTGGTTGATGAGACGACGCCGATCCACAGATCAGAAGCTGGCCCAGACAGTTTGCACGTTTGGGGGCCTCCCTTGCCGCCCACGTTTTTGCAATGAGAATGGGGCTCGAGTGTCTGGATATTTGATTCGTCACTAGCGTGCTACATGAGTAGTCTAACTAGTTAGTTAGGGAAATGACTCCTGGCACGAAATGGGGTTCTTTGTTCATTGTTGTAAACAAATCTCTAGCCTGAAAGGAGTAACGGATTGACGAGTACTGTCTCTTAGCAGTTAGTTAGTCTTGAATAATAAGGAGTTCCGTTATGTACTGCCATGTGATTGAAATTCTTTTGTTCAACGACTCGAGCGTTTTGGTGTCGAGGTTGCTACGGTTACTAACAGGGGTTATCAAAATTGATCGACCCCTGAATGCAAAGTCCAACCGACACTACTCGTAAACCGGACTTCGGGGATATGCGTCCTCTCCTATAGACATTACCATGTAGTTTGGTATGTCTTCCGGCGGTGATTCCCGGTCAATAGCATTATGATGGCTTCAGGGAAGCAGTACTGGCCGCGGACAGTTTAAGTACGTTGCTGGCAAGAGCCCTGAGGTCATAAGTTGCTATCAGGAAGAATTGGCAAAGAGCTAACAACATCCTCTATCAGTCTATCTCACGGGACGAAAAGGCTCCCTTCTCGATAGAAGTTGTTTCAAAAGATTCTCTACTAAAGAACGAATATCTGGTGGGGGTATACCTGGTCCTCCGATAATACGATCTGGCCGCAAGCCCTCTGGTACCTACTTATAGTGATCATCAACATTCAACCATCATCAGTGCATCACAAAATTGCTTCCCATCATCGTTAGCATCATGCCATCACTTCCATCTCAAAGGTTACACGCCCCTCCGCAGGTCACGACATATTCCCCATTCGAATAGTCTCGGCCGAGACAGAGTCCTTGGCGGGGTCCTCAACCCACTTGACGCCCCTGGCCGAATCCCTCTGCCGAATGAGCCGATTCTTCCTCTGCCTCTCCCTGTAAAACAAGAACGCCAACCCGGCGATTAGGCCGAGCCCAACCACCACGCCGACAACCACACCGGCTATCGCCCCGCTCGAGAGCCGTGCCCCTGGGCCGTCCGTCACTGGAACTGACGAGGGCTCCGACGACGGCAGCTCCAAAGGCGGTCCCTCGTCGCCGTGGCCTGGCAGATTGGTCGGAATCCCCGTCGACGTAGGAGCGGGAACGTCCTCGGGAACAGTGCTGTTGAAGCAGGGGATGTTGGCCGGGTTGAAGTCGGTGACGTATGTAATGTCGGCGCATGCGTAAAATGTCTGGTTTTCGGGGCGGTCAAAGTCAGCTGTGTAGATGATCTGAATGGTGGCATTTGTCCCGGGGGCGATGGTTGATGGTGGGTTAGGGATGTCGAGGCAGGTGTGGCCCGGGTCGAGCTCGGCAATAGGGGCGGTGTTGAGGACATAGCCGAAGTCGGATTGTGTTTGCGGGTCTTGTTTGGGGAGGTTAATTGACAATTTTGAGGTTGGGATGGTGCCAAAGGGAGACAAGGGGTTTGGATTACCGTTTGAAAAGGAGATGCTCAGCTGCGCACGATAGGAGTCATCCTGGGCGACAAGAGCCACTTTGCCCCCGGCTTCAAAGTTCACCTAGGTCAGCAAATAAGTGGGATGGGGATTCAGAGTCTCTACTCAGTACTCACTTAGTGGAAACTTCGTCCGATTGGTGACGAGCGCAACTGAGCCGCAAGGCGGCGTATTGTCCATTTGCTCGGACCAGGCACGATCGGGCGGCCACATGAAGGCGGCAGGACCCATTTCATTGGAGGCAGCTATGGCAACAGCTGCCCCTGCCAGAAACAGAACCGGCTGGAAAGGCGCCATCTTCGGTTTTGGGTCTGCAAGAGGCTTGAGGTCAGGGATCCAAAAGCAAAAGACCCGGATTCGAACTTGACTTTGACCTCAGCCCCTTAGTGTGTAATCAAGAGGAAGATCGGGCAGTTTAGTTTGGGCGGGCGGAGAAGATCAAGCTACCTATCGGCTATTGCCAGCCTGAGGTATTATAGAACGGCATGGACCGGAAGAGTGAGCGGGTATTGTCGCACTCTTTTATCGTTTTTGGTATCCCCCACTTTGGTCTGCCCAGTTGCTCTTTCAGGACAGCCTCCTGCCGCGTGTGGTGGCAGTCGTGCACGCTGACAAACGACCACTACTTCCTATCCAGACATCAAGTGCTACATGATGTAGAATCCACAAATGTGAGAATGATAACTCTCAGAAGGCTGGTGGTATTTTCCCAGTCTGCAAATGATAGAAGCGTTACTGCTGCTGTCCGTGGCTCAATCAATTAGCCTACTGTTTGCCCAGGTTATCGCACTTGGGAGACAGTTCGGATGCAACGGATCGAGTGGTCTTGGAAGATCAGACCCTCCGCATTGCCTCAGCCCAAAAACTTTGGGCAACACCTTCCCGATAGCCCCTCCCAGCCTTCGAGAAACAGCGGTTTGGACATGGCGAGGATTGGCCGATGCTTATCAGATGATCAAAGATGATCAGATAATTTGGCTTGGCAACGGGCTCGGCATCTGACTGGAGCATATTACGCACCCTGATTGGAGGGCTCAACTCAAGGTTCCACCCGAACACACACCTCATCCGTAAAGGTCGGTCAACCGCACCTACCTAAAAGAAGGGGAAAGAGGAGGAACCTGAAGGAATGAGTGTACATACGAGGTATCTCTTGCGGTAGAGGAAATTAGATCCGATGTCGCATGCCTTGCCAGGGTGCGGCCACGGCTCCCTCTTTGGTCAAAATGTTGATGGGGTGCCACTCGGGTGGCCTGGTCTGGACTTTGGACGACAGGACCGACCAGCCCTCGGCGCTTCTAGTGTATGATCAATATCTCTGGGCCGCCCGCCGATATTGAGTGGCACCCACACCTGGCATAATAAATGTAGGTACCTGCAATTCTCCTTCCTCTCCCATTACACCTTCCTGCGCGAGTACAAAGGTGGGAGGGACGCCGTTGGGAAACTGACATAATCAGACAGCACACTCCCAACGCCAATTCGACCAACCGCTCAGCCATTTCGATTCTCAACAATGCTCAATCTTCGTCTTTTGATACTTACTGCTGGTCTGGCAGCCGCCGCTGTCCATGTTGCCTTACATGACAGCGACTCGACGCTGGAGCTGCTCCTGAGACGCCAGGCTCCTGGTACGCCACAGTATGCGTGCCATGAGAATTGTGGTATGTACCTGAGGAGACCCAACTTACCTTGAGTTTGCTGCTTCAAGCCACACTGACACCTGCCAATCAAGGCAACACCATTGCCTTTGGTCGCAACCCCAACCACTGCGACAATTCCACCTGGACCGCCGCCTATGAAGCTTGCCTCGAATGCGCTCTCGAATTTGACATTTGGCGCTTCTATAGTAACGGCGTTACCAATGCCGCTCAAGCTTGCGGCCTGAGCCCTACACCCTCACCTTCGGGAGGTGCGGTGTCTCCTTCGTCGACGGTCTCGCATGCCTCTACCACCAGCTCTGAGCCTAGTTCTACTGCTCCTGCGGAGACTTCTGGGAGTGCAGGTATCACGACCGATGCCCCGACGACAGCCCCTCCTAGTACCGGAACGGGCGCAGGAGTTTCTACGCCGCCCCCAACAACCGTATGTTGACGGTTACCCAGTCAACCCTTACCCTTGTTGATGTGAGCGCTGCTAACCCTCTCGATAGTCGCCAGTCACTGCAGGCGCCCCGGAGTTTAGCATTCATTCAACCATGCCCTTGCTTAGCGTTGGGTCCTTGGTCGCCATTTTCGTGGCATTCCTTGGGGCATGGTAGACTCTACCCCTACTTGAAGAGTATTTACCGGATCTGGACCTGACTACCATTGTGGACGGCCATCAGTGTACATTACCTGAGCTGGCACTATCTTGAAGTTATCGGCGGCAATAATCACGGAAAGAGAAACAAAACGCCCAGCGGAAGTTTGGTTGCCAATTTTGTTGTCTCTAGATCGAGTGACTGACGAACGCTGGGTGCACTTTTTCTCGATTCTTGTCCTCGCAAATGACTGAGAGACCGACTAAAGAACGTCCGGGCCGAGCACCGCCGCCTGCCATCGTGTGACGCTTTCATATTCCGCGACCATTCATATTCCGCGACCATGGCCCGCCATTTTCCACCCCAATAGCCCACCTAACCCCTTTTTTTGATCGCCAACTTAAGCTTCAAACCCCAGACCTGAAGCTCAAACCCCCTTCGTCCACCCAACTTCATGCCATACTCCTCGCCTAGCCTGTCACATTGAAATAGTTCGCCCTGATCGGAGGAGAAGTCAACCCAACCGCCGCAACGAACTTGGCCAGGTCGAAGCCGAGCGTCTGGCCGACCTGTTGGCGCGTGGCAGAGAAGCCCGCGGGCGTCTCATACAGCAGGCTCACATAGCGGTGCGCGTACGGCGGAGTCTCGCGAGGGGGCGCTGGGCCCACGTATGGCACGATTGCGCTGGAGGAGGACGCCGGCGGCGTGAGCGTGTAGATGCCGTTTGTGCTAGCGGCGCTGCTGGGTTGGAAGCCGGCTACCATGGCGTGCAGGTTCGTGCGGCGGGGGCCGGAGGAAGGGTTTTGGAAGTTGGATGGGCTGGATTTTGTTTCCTCGTGTTAGCAAAGAATGGACTTGTGTTGGCTGGCTGGCTGGCTTGAGGAGGGTGGGCGGGCAAGTGAGGAAAGGAGGTACTGACACGTCGAGATCTAGGTTGAAACGCATCTGTTAGTATGGCATACTAAGGTACAATGGTAAAAATTGGTGGACAGTTCCAAAGGGTCACCAAACACATACCAATCATCATCCATAGGTAAGTTCCTGCTGCTAGGGCAGCATCTTTCGTGCCTATGGTTGGCTGCCTCGCTGTCTCTATTGCAACGAGCATAATGAGCTTCTTGCTGTCGGTCAATATTAAGACAGGGACACTGAAGCATACCTGCTCGTGTAAAGCTGGCCCCGGGGGTTTGCACAGCCTTGGTCCCGAAGATGACCTCCAACTTCTCCTTCACCTCTGGAACAAAGCCCACCGGCGTTTGCGCCGACACAATGCTGGATAGCAGTATTGCCGGTATAAGAGCGACGCCTGAGAAATACATAGTGGATGCTTTTGTGCGATACACGTGGATGCGGTACTAGGCAGTAGTTAGGCCGGGAGTTTGGAGAGAGGAAATGGACTGAAAAGCTTGGGATACCCGTACAATTATCCCCGGCTGACCTCCATGCAGAACCAGCACTCAACTTACAAAGCAATCTACTGCATCATTTGAAGTTTTACAGTAATTGCTCTGGGGCCTATATCTGGGATTATGTGTGGCGGCAGTAGTCAGGGGTTTGTTGTGCTCTAAGGCGAGCCCAGCCGGCAAAGCTTTGTGCCTATGGCAACAATTTATCCCCCCCCCCCCCCCCCCCCCCCCCCCCCCCCC